GATGATTGGCAGGGATGGGATGACTCTGCTGCTGGAAATGAAAGTGCTATGAATAATCAGGCACCTCTGACCCAGGAAAACATTGACTTCATTTGCAACACAAAACTGATTGCAGATGGTATTTGAGGAGGGGAATCCAGCTATTCACTGTGCTTTCCCCTCACCAGAAAAATTCATTTCCTCTGTACTGTTAAGCAATTAAATGGACCTGATTGGATCTGCTGATACAGCTGCACATAGAAGGTCTGGAACAAAAAATTAAAGAGTCCATGGGGTTGATGCTAAATGTAATCCTAATAAAACAGTGGGCTGAGGGGGAAATGCACATATAACTCCTATTTTGATAAAGAATTAAAACAAATCCCTTAAAGGAACAAGTTTATTTGGACATTTCTTTGAAATCCTAATAAGATGGTTGCTGAATTGGATGCTGGATGTCAGCGCACAAACAAGGACATTCCTGCCATTTATTCCTATTACTGCTCACTCCTTCCTGCACTTCCAGCTGCTCCCTGCCTCCCATCTGGCTGCGTGCTGGGCACACCTGCCAGCCCTCTCTGCTCTGCTTCACATGCCCGTGAGTGCTCCTTCCTGTCCCTCTGCAGGACAGGTGACAGCCTCCCCTGGGCCCTCAGCACTCCCTGCCTGCTGGGACACGTTTCTCACAGCCAGGACTCCCAGAGGGGAGGGAGAGCAGCAGCAAAGGGCCATCCTGACAGGGCTGGTGGCCCTGGCTGCTCCTGTCAAACACCTGGTCCTGTCCACGGCTGAAACCAGAAGAGTGAGGCAGCTCCCACTGGAAAGAAGCCTGAAGCCACAGAATAACACGATCCATCCTCAGCCCTGGGCTCAGCCTTTGGCTAGTGCAGAACAGGGTGGAGCAAAGCCTGACTGGGCAGCAAAAACCAGCTCAGATTGTCCCTCTGGCAACCTCCATTGCCTTCAGCATGTGCCTGTCTGACATCCACAGGTCCTTGCTGCAGCTCAGCTGTCACAGCCCCTCTGAACAAATGAGTTTTAACACTGGCTTTCCAGGGCCATTAGAAATAAAGTCCAGAGGTGAGGAGGAGCAGGAGGATGCATTCAGATTTTTTTTTTCTTGCCCCTCCCCAGCATCACTGGAGGGCAGATGTTTGTCACATCAGGAAATAAAATGGGGGAAGGAGTAGGAAGCTCAGCTTGGGTTTAAGAAGCAACAGGTATTTTGCTGTTGCAATAGAAGCAGGGTATTTTCCTTTCTTTTCCTAAAGAAAATGCCTACAACCAAAATTTCAAATGCATGTGACTAAGATTAGGCTCCTAAACCAACAATTAAATCTTTAAGCAAATGGCCTGATCTTCTTCAGTGTTGATCACACAGTGACTTAACCTATTGTAAATGCAGATGAAGCCAGAAGGGTGAATGATTTCTTTATTATAACTATACTATAATACATTAATACACTATTTAAAGGAGATACTAAAACTACAAACCTACTTTTTCTAACTACCATATCTAACTCCTCACAACTTGTGACCCTGTTCCTGAGAGCCCAGCCCCAGGTGGGTTGGATTGGCCACCAGGCTCAAACAATCCTCACCAGAATCCAATCAAGCACTCACCCCCAGGTAAACAATTCTCCAAACACATTCCACATGGGAAAAACAAGGAGCAGAAATAGAAATTGTTTTCTCTTTCTTTCTCTCTGTACACCTCAATGAAAAATCCTGAGAGAGAGAGAAATGTGCTGCCACATTAACCCACCTTCCTTAGGAACTGAGGGATTCAGGGCTTTTGGGAAAACAGGAATGAAAAAAGAAAAAAGTCAGGCCCCTTCCTAGGGTACATGCTGGTAGAATTAAACAGGTAGCTTGAAATCAGCACTTTCAAAATTTATTCCCTCCATCCTTTTACATCAATTTCAAGCCTACTGCCCAACATATTTGATACTGAAAAGCAAATTATATGAATGCATAAATTTACCTCTGAATTAAATTTAAAACCATTTTTCACAATAATAAAGAAAAAGATTAACTGTAGGAAAAGACCCACCAGAGTGTATGAGCAGATAAAGTCAGAGCTTGGTGCCACAGTGTGAGCTGAGTCCTGGGCAGGCTGGGTTTGTTCATTGCACAGACTCCTGGTTTTAGGGAGACAGGCTGTGTTTCCAGCTCCCTTGGCAGGGTCAGGCCTGCTGGGGTACAGACACATTCCAAACCTGGGCACTTCTAACAGACCACTTTCCTGCAATGGGATTTGACAGCATGTACATTAATCTCTCCAATTAGAGCCATTTGACTCTATTTACATACTAATAACAAAACGGTTGGGAAACATGAAATTACACAAAGTGAGACCCACACAATTTTGATCAGCTACACAGGATCAGGATCAAGACCCTCCTCATGTTAACCTTTCTTTCCCTTATAAGCCAAAAGCTTTCTAAGAACCTTTCCAAAGCTTTATTGGATTACAATGAGGGTAATTATAGCACTGAGATGAATCCAGTGGCTCTCTTGTAATGGAATACAGCCAGTCCCAGCTGCTTGAATGCCAGCCTGACTTGGCAGGGTCCCACAAAGACACTGTTCTTTCATGGGTTTTTGCCTATTCCAAGGGATGAGGTGACTGCTCCCCAGTCCCAGGCACCCTCACAGGCAGAATGGGAGAACCCAGTGCTCAAAGGAGGCCTGAAGAATGAACAGTGTTTGCAAACCAGCAGAAGGAGCTCTCAAGAAAACTTTTGCCATGAAAGTTTGGGGATACTGGAGGACTTTTAGCTTTCTTAGTTATTTCATAATTTATTTCAACAGACACTGCACATGCATTGTGTTGTGGGAAAAGGAAAGAAAAAGCAGAGATGATGGATCTACTGCTAAGAAAAACTAAAATCAGCTCCAGCATAAATATGGCTGATTGGGCCTTTCTGCACTCCTGTAATGCTGTTCTCAGGTGGAGAGTGTCTATCTCCTTTAGCTTACTTTCCATACAGAAATTCTACAGATTCTGAGCCAAGAGGACACATGTACCTAATGGTAAAGGCACCAGGTGAGCTCCAGTCACTGGGCAGTGCAGGGCTGCAAGGGGAGAAAATACAGGGCAGAGGAAGAAAACAGAATTCAGCCATCTATTCTGAAGTATTTTCACTGCTGGAGTACTGACCCAGGGCAGTTGTTACTGAGGCAGAGTACTGACCTGTGCAGCTGCTGAATTTTTCAGTGGAAGTTAGGAATGAGTTAGTAAAAAAACAGCCATGAGGATTGGTACAACTCTGAGTGGTCATAACTGACCCAGGCTCAGCACAGGCCCTTCAGAACCATCCCCTGAGCTTTGTTCCCCACTTCTGACACCCATGGCTACATCAGCAGTGTTATAAAGTTCACAGCTGTTCTGCAAAATGGTTTGCACAAGACATTTCAGCTGCAGAAGTAATGAGGGCAAAGAGGAATAAACCACAAGATGTTCTTAGGAGAGAGCAGCCCAGAAAGGATCTCCAAATCTGTTGCCTGGGAGGCCAAGCTCTGCCATCTGCACCTTCAGCTGTGGCACAGGGAGCTCCTGAGGTGCTGTGAAATCCCTTCCCAGAGCAGAGCACAGGGCTGCTGGTGTGGGAAGGAGAGAAAAAGTTACATGAAACATCCTTGGCAATTAAAATTCTGCTGACAGCAATGTCACACCACATCACCAGTGGAAAAAATGAACCCCATGGAAAAGTGGTTACACAACCTGGTATTGTGACTTGGACATGTCCTGTCCACTGGACACCTTTACAGGCATTTGGCAGAACTTAGAAATAATCACAGCTCTGAAGGCAATTTTTATGCAAAGCAGAGCTCTAAAACTTGTTAAAAAAATATCCACACAAGCAATAAAGGTCACCTGTCCCTGCTTTGGGAATGAGGGAAGGGGAGGAAAAGATCACAAGGATTACCTGAATGGACTTATAAAATCCCACCTTTTGGAGCTGTTTCAAAGTGCCTCTTACTCACTATCTTGACCGGAAAAAGCAAAGAACAAATATTAAGGGTAGGAGGAGAATATACAAACAATTACAGAAAATATATATTTTAACAACTTGTTTGATTATCATTCAGTTGCTGCAAGGGACAGATTTCCTCCAGCAGGAATGCTGCAAAACAATCTCAATAACCAGCAGCAGCTCTTTCCAATGTAGACAGAGCAGCTGATTTAGTAACTATTTAAAGCCCTCCTTTTTTCTCTTACTTGTACTTAATTAGAACTCTAGAAAACAACTGTTATTTCAGTCAAGGCCTGAAAATCTCAGTTCCTCTGCTGGCCATGTGCCAAGACTCAGTGACTTTCCCTAACACAGGTTGCTGGTGGCATGAAAAGACTATAATGTCTGAAATAGCTGCAGTGCAGCACAGCCCTCTCCAGCACTAAGGGAACCCCTCCATGCAGAATTTGGTGACACCCACTAAGAAGCAAAATCAAGATACATAGAAAATGTTAAGAAATTCTATTCCTCATACAAATTTAGTGAGGAAGTTCCATCTTTAATAGTGCCCATAAATTGAAATTAAAAGAGAAAGGCATTCAAAAAGATGGGATGACTAGTCAGTGTGATCCTGCTCATTTCTAGGCACTGACTTTCACAGAGGAGATGGGAGTAGGAGGAGGGAGGAGTTTGCTATGGGCTGCTTGTACCATTACAGATCAGCATTTGGCATTTCTTGCTCATATGTCAAATACGTGCTTGCACAGTGTGCCAGATGCAGCTCCTGATGAATTTTTTAAAAGAAGAATTTAATGCTGACATAACAAAAGTGATAAATTGCTCAGCTCTTTGTAGGGTAAATCCTGAATGTACTGATAGAGAAGCAAATGGAGCTGCTGAAATCCTGCCATGGCTGAAGCACTTAGGACCTTTGCAAGCATTCATATCCAATAGCAAAAATCCCTTCTTGCATATGGGCTCTCTGGCAGCACAGGGGTTTCCTAAAGGTCAGTGGTATAATAGCCATAGCGAGTTTTTACAGCCAGAAAAAGTTGCTCAATGTTTCAGAATACAAACTTTTATTTTAAAGACAATTATTACACTCACTGAGTATCCCAAAATTTCTCAGTTATTTCCCACAATGGTCACATTTCACTCCCTAGGTTTAAGTCAGATTTCAGAACAGATTTTTTAAACATTGGTAGACAGAGGCAAGAACAAAAAACTGCAGTAGCCGAATTATGCTATTTGCAATGACACTAGACATTCACAGTCATTACAGGAATATTGTGCTTTATGATCCTTATGATTTACTGGGAGAACCATGCAAGATTCACAACATTTTACAATTCACTTGCCAATATATTCCTCAGGCTTAGGCTTTAAGGTGCTACTGGGAGTTAAACCAGGATAAACAATGGAAGCTGGCCACACTGGTCATGTCTTGTTTGGTACCTGGCATGATATTGTGACAGCAGATTGCACATCCTAAATCTCCTTCACTTTGGAGATAAGAGTTCAAATGGACAGTTATAGTTAAGTGGTTTTACAGGTACTACAGCTCACTTATGAGAGGAGATTCTTACCCAAGGCCTGAGGATACATTGAAGAGCCTCCAACTATTAGGAAGAGGCATGCCATTAAGATGTTATATATAAAATTATCACAACCCTCCAGCCTTGAATCTGACATGACTTTGATTGGTTTTGCTTCTCTTCCTCATTTTAGACAAGTTAAAACACTCTTTTTACTACTTACATTTCCCAAATTCTACAGGCAAATCTCATCCTGCTGAAAACTCACAGGCCTCCCTAATCTCCAGGAGATGTTGTGCCTCAAAAGCTCCTTCCCTGTTGAGGTCAGCAGTCATGCTGGTGACAGCTCTGTAAAACACCCTCTGGAGCTCCCCAGCCCACAGAGGACAAGGGCCTGGTTATGGATGGGGGAGGAGAGTTGCCATATGCCAATGCATGAGCAATCTTTGATTCGCGGTCAAAAGCATCCAAAAATTCAGTATGCAGGATTTTGTGCCATATGGAGGAATTGTGATTTGGCCTTTTCCCCAGCTGTATCTCATTAAGCAAAAAAGGAAAGAAAAAAGGGAGGACATTCTTTTCTTCTGTGCAAATCTCTCCCCAGAGTTCATCTTCCTTTGAGGGATAGTTCATTGCTGGTACCTGGAAAACCAAGTCCGAGCAGAAGGGGGCTGTTAGAATCCAGGTGCTTGAGGACAGGGCTCTGTCCAATTCAAGTTTTGTTCTAAATGTTTTATACTTTGAATATGATTTCTTTTAGGGAAGAGAGAGAAGTGCTACAGAGAGACAGGACTGGTTCTACAGGGCTGAGAAAGATCAGAGTAGAGAAAGAACCTCATGTTCCATGAAGTCTGCAGGGGTGCATTACAGTAAAGGATGTTATTTCTATGTACTGCAGCATTTTGCATTAACAGGAGTTTTGCTTGTGAGCTCTGTGGTCTGTTTTGCTCAATGTGGAAGGTTTGTTTAACCTGAGACTTCACTGGGATTTTGCCCTTCTCTTTTTTTATAGAGACTGACATGGCATTACCATAAGGCAGACTTTAACATGGTTTAATGTTACAGAGACAATACCATGGCTGGTGTCCAACAGGTCACCACATCTGAGTTTCAAAGTTATAAAGACACCCAGACACCTCAGAGCCTCTGTGCTTCTTTCCGATCTTCCTCGACGTAGAAAGATGTGAGGAGGAAAAAACCTCCTCCAAAGACCCCGACAAAAGCACAGGTGACAAAGCTGTACTGCATGCTCCGGAAACTCCACTGCAGCGACGGGCTGTTCCTGGCCTGGATAGCATTGGAGATCTGGGGAGGGAACAAGGCTGCCATTAATCCAGAATAACACCTCCATCCTCTCCTGCTTTAAACAGACTCTTTGCAGTGTGGGCCTTGCAACGAATAAAAGAGGCAGACAGGGATGAGAGGCTGCTCCCGAAGTTTGTCAAACCTGGTACCCAGCACAGCTGTACTGCACTTCCAAAGGGTCAATAAATCTCATGTTGTTTTACACCTTCAGTGGCAGTCACAAGGGCAGGAAACATATTTTACCATTTCCTAGCCCATCTCCCGATTGCCAGCACAGGATGGGCATTTGGCAGTGACCTTTGGCATTTCTTGATTCTATTCAGTAACTTTCTGCTTCCCTTATTGGCATCCAAGGTATAGAAACAGGGAGACAAGCAGCAGTACAGGCACAAGCAACAACACTCTTAAGACAGGAAAAAGATGGAAATTAATTTAAGACAAGACTGGGGTCTGCTTTTGAGCAAAAGGCATTTGAGGAGTTACAGAGTGACATTGTGAGTAAGTGGGAGGAAGAAAATACCAGGCAGGTGCTTTTTGCACTGGTGGGAGAATGAGGTTGTAAAGGCTATAAATGATACATATGAATTCTACTTTTGTAGACAGAAGGAAAATCTGATTTCCAGAAACTCAGTAAGATTCAACACTTAACCCAGGAACCTGAGATCTTTCTTAGCATAAACAAAAAGATAAATGGTGAAAGCAGTCATTTTTATTCCCACATTTGTTCTTGAATGTTAGAATACATTGTGTGACTTGGAATGCATAAATACAAGACTCTTCAACCTTTGCTGGGTTTCTATGATTATTTATGACAGTTTAGGAAGATAAGAGGAAGATCAACTCTAAATGGGTACCTAGGGACTACAGCAAGCATAATGGCCATGATACAAAGCTAATGCATTTAATTTTAAAATGCTTAGTGGAAAAATCTCTGTAGTGCAGAGGGAAGAAAAAGAGAAATTCCCTGATTCTTCAGCCAGATTTTAAGCTAAAGGTTTGGCTGAAGTAGGTTAGGAAACACTATCAGGACATGAAAGAAGAAGATTTGGTGTTTAACTAACAGCAGTCATGGGAAGTGTAGGTGTATGGGATCACAGAACATTACAGAGGACAATGTGGGTGCCCAGTACACAGGAACCCACTTGGACACACAGTAATTTTATTCCTGGGTTTATTGCCTCTGTTCTGAGTGAAGTTACAAGGTTACCTGAGATTAATCTCATCTGGATAAGCATTTTTTTGTCTTCACTCTCTCAAGAGCTGCTCTTTAAGGTGACTTCTGCAGGCAGGATGCAGCACAAAGCCTCAGTTCTGCTTGTGTCCCAAAGAGGGCAAAGGACAGAGGGCAAGAGGCATGAACAGTTTAATCTTTCAGGTGGAAAGCTTAAATCAATAGATTGGTCACAGGGAGAATGAATAAGACATATTTCAGCTTTTGGGGTACCTCCCATTTTTGCATCCCTTCTGAGCCATTTTCCACAGGGATGTTGGTTGTTGTGCTTCCACACACACAGTCATATGTGAGATCAGGAGTTTCCTAACACCAAGGAGCAAAATGGTTTCTTCATTTGCCAAAAAAGGGAAGTCAGCAGGGGTAATCCCTCAGGGAGAGAGACTCTATTCTCTGCCAGACAGATTATACAGTTGAGACCCTGGGTTTCATCCAGCTGAGGACAAGGGGAACCTCCTGTGTGGCTGGGCCAGCAGCAGCTGCACAGGTGTAGCTCACTTGGGCATTGCTGGCCCTGTCTAACCCTGACACTGTTAACAGGGGATGAACTTCTTTAAATAAAGTTTCATAAAAGCTACACTTTAAATCACCAACAAAGACTCAATCTCCCATATCAAGTAAAGCAGAAAACTTAAAATGGGTGCTTTGTTAGCTACTGTGCTTTAAAATAAATGAAGGAAGGAAGTGAGACTACCAGATATAGTCCACTGGAACTAAAATTAATGAACTGGACACAGAAAGCAGTATGAGGCTGATTTGCACAGAAGCACTAAGTACTAAGATCAAGTAAATGTAGGAAGGGCAGAGAAATCAGTTTTCAAAGAATGTGGGAATTCAGGGTTAAGGTGATTTGAGACCAGAGATTTAAAGGTCATGTAGTATCTAAAGACAACCATTGCACCACTTTTGTTTTGATTTTCAAGACACCATTGACTAATTGCAAGATTTCAAACTTCAAGATTTGAACTAAGTCTTGGGTTTTAACACATTGAATTATGAAACTCCTATGAAACTCTTTACAAACTTAGCAGAAAGTGCTTACATCCTATGACACTCTCTCTGCAAAACATGTATGCCTCTAAAAATATAGGAGTCTGTAAATTTCTACACTCTGCATAGAACTACTCACACCTACAAGCAGTGTCACAGGACCAAGTATTTCATGCAAGTAAAAATGTTTAGAAAAATGTCTCCATGTCCTAGACTCAGGGCCAGCAATTTGAGTAATTTCTGGTTTTGGAGCATGTAGTGCCTATGATTCTGTGAGTGTCTGCTTATCAGTTTCTAGAAGTTTTACCCTAAGGTAAATTCAATAAGGAAAGAATTCACTTACAACCCCAACGAGGTATGGGCTGCCTGCATCTCCCAGCAAATGGCTCACCAAAATCTGCAGGGCGATGGCTGTGGACTGTCGCCTCGGCGTCACCACGTACTGAAACAAAGCACAGCCCACAGGAGAGGGAACATCAACACACAGAACTTCAGGAGTGCCCACCTGCTTCCAGAATATCCAGAGATATCAACAGAGCAACTTTGATGTACTTCATATTCAAACATTGTTTACACTTTGTAAGAAAAATTTCATAGTTAAATACTGTTTACAGCTTTGGAGACAGAAAAGTTATTCTGAGAAAAAGAGTACACTGAGTGTTTTGCTGAGGAAAAAACATTCAAGAAAGGAAGACACAGGAGAAAATCACAGTAAAGTAGCTAAATCATGACTCCCATGTGTCCATACACAGCTCAGAGCAGCTTGTGCAGATCCATTTGGCCATGCAGCCAATAGAAGCCTCCAGCCAGTATCCCTTGCAGTCACAATGACTTGCTAACAAGGATTCAGCACTGACAGTCTCTCAGAAAAATACCTTATGATCTGTGTCAGCAGGCCTGGTCTAGACTGCTGAGGGAAAGTGGGGTACCTGGAACCTGGAGGAGCTGTAGAACATGTCAGCTGAGGCCTTGCAGACCCCTTGAAGACTGAAGGCGAGGACCCAACCTGCCAGGCCCGAAAGTGGCTGGTGATGTTTTGGTGGTATTGACTGTAACTGGGAAGCACCTGAGACACAAGGCACTGTAGTAACAACAGTATCTCACATTGATTTTGTTTTTCAGTGCACACAGTTTAAATAACAAGTTGGAGAGGAAGATGTGGTGCACATCCAGAACATGGCAAAGCATTATGTAAATGAGAACTATTTTGTCAAATGGAATATAGTCGTTTCAGGGTAATAAGAGCTCTATGCCTGTGCTACTGAAGATCAACTCTGCCTGAAGAAGCGTTTAAATAACACATTTATGCAAAAAACATTCACAGTCAGAATGCTTCAGAAGCAATTTCAAACCTTCATACCTCTGTTTTCCAACCACTTGGTTGTACCAGAAACAAAATGCTTAATATTTTCTCACTCCTCTATTCCACAGTTTGGAGGGTTTTCTTGAAACCCACCTAAATGTCCTTAAGTATGTCTCACACACTAATTCATAGAATGATTGGTGTCTTACCAAGGGACAGACTCAAGGTGTATAATCCTTACTGTGGCTCTATCACTGCCTTCAAGGAAACATTAACATGCATGATAAGTTGGGTTTAAAACTAAAAAAGACCCTGCTGTCACATGTAATTTAGAGTTTTGGTCCTGCTTATCACATGCTGCAACCAGTTTCAGTAAAGAACCAGAGAACACTGACAGTGCCCCTTTTAGGCACTTGGCCTCAACCTTGGATACACAAATCACTCTTAAACCAGCATTTCTGCACCCAGCAAGAAAGCTTTGAGCAGCTGGATTAGAACAGACAACCCCCTTCCTTCCTTCCTTTGCACACGTGCAGCTAATGCATAACCTGCTCCATTCTTAGTCCCTCCAAAGCAGGTATTCTAAGCATGGATAGAAGATTTCTTTTTCATTAGGACTATTTAGGTAGAGTCCTTCAACAATAGTAAATATTAAAACCAGGGATGCTTTGGAGATCTCTCCAGAGTTACAGAAAACCACTGTGATGTCATGTTGCCACGACACTGCATCCAGTCCCCAGACAGTGTAAGGGCAGAGTTATGTGACATTGGCTGTTCTGAAATCCTTGTCACCCGTGAATGAAGGAACAATCCAACAGCTCCTTCTCACAAAGGCCTATGGCCTCGACTGAGGGTGTGCAGCCCACCCACTCTTTTTTTCTCTCAGAACCTATCTGGACAATGAGCATGCACACTGTGTGAACAGGCTCTCTTGTACAGAGACAAAAAAACTACAATAGTAAACTCTGAGCTCGGGAAGCAGACCTGGCTATGACAGACTGTACTAGACTGGAGACTGGCAGCTCTTGGCTCTCCAAGGTTTTCATGTCATCTGTCCTAGACTCAAATTTATTTTATGGATAATGACAGGCTATGTTTGAGAAATGCAAATCAAATATTCTTATGCACTTAATATATGATTGGGATTGAAAGCATGAGAAAAGCTAAAGGTACTTTGGCTCTCCCAGTGCCTTGCACCACTTCCTTACTACCTTTATTTAATATCCCCTATCTGCAACAAGAGATGGAATAAAACTGTAACAAGAAAAATATAAGAGAAGGATGGGGTGTTTCCTATAGTTTCAGAGCTCATACAAACTCTGCCTGTGCTATTACTCAGGTTCTTCTGCACAACAGAAACTATACTCAAGAGTTCAAGGCACTGTGGGATTCACTAGGAAAAGAAGAAACACAACAGAGTCCCACAGGGACTCTAAGGAGCCATGGGTCCTGCCTGGCCACAGTGACTGCCCAGGAGCCCACACCATGGCAGGAGGGGAGGTGACATCCTGCACACTCCTCCTCTGAGGAGATCCAGCCCAGGTGCCTGGACTGAAGCAGGTGCTCCAAACAGGTACAGTTTGCAGATCCCTCGTGCTGCCTCTGGAGGTTTCAGAGACCCCCCTGCAGATTCTGCCACAGAGCTGTCAGCTAAAAAAGCAGATGGAACACACAGGCTGGTGAACACTTCTGTACCTCCCAGGGCACTTCCAATGACAGGGACACATTGGTAGCCTTCCCAAACCCCTCCAGTCCCAGCATCTCCTACACTATTAGCTGCCAAAACCCTAAAAGACAGAGTTCCACAACCTCACAGATGGCAAATATGTTTCATAAGGAATACTCCAAATACAGCCTCCTGGTAAACAGCAAGGCAGCTACAGTACTTCTCCACTTGCACATTAGGGCTGTAGTGGTACAGCAGATACCTTTGTGTTTACACTGAATAGGAGGCACAAAGGTGGCTACATGCAATGCTTCTTGATGCACCAGCCACAAAGGGAGGAAATCTTTATCATTCAGTCAGCATCTTCCTTGTCTTCAGCTCCACAGGTCGCAGGAGAAATGAATTCCTAGCTACATTGTCTGGCTAGTAATGCCATGTAGGAAGAAAGAAAAGTGATTTTCATGGCAAAATAAGAACATGCATTAGCAAATCCAGCTACATTATCAGAAATCCTACCAGTTCACATAGGAAATGAGGCAGAAAGAGAAATTACTGCTGTTATCTGTGGCACCCTTCAGTCAATATCACAGCAGTAATACAATGAACTCATGGGGTTTGAACAGGATGAAACACAACTCCCAAGTAAGATTGTTACTGAATGAGCAAATATCAACAAATTCAGCTCAATTCCATCATTTTTCTGATAAAACAATTATTAGCATTTAGAATTCAAGAGATCCAACCCAAAGCACATTTGTGGTAATGAACTTGATGTCTGTTCCCAGGGAACACAGCACCACACTGCTCTGCTATGCCAAATTTTTCACCTCCCCACTTGTTGCCAGTTGATACAATATTGCTGCTAACTAACCCCACAATATTCTAAAAGAAATGGAAGTTAGAGATGTTGGTCACCTGGGAGACAAGAACTTCCTTCTCTTCTAGATTTACATGGATCCAGGGTAAGGCAATGATGCTCCCCACAGATTTCCTGCGGGCTGCAGTGAGATGCAGCATTCCCTCAGAAAGCTGAGATTGAAGTGATGGAACTGAACAAAAGCTCTGTTTGGATTCAGGAAGGAATTGAAAGAAAGAGCTGATAGCAACCATCTGCCTCACTCTCCTCACCATGTACCACCATGTATACCTTTACCTAACTCAGTGATGTCACCTTCCTCTTTAACAGTGACAGAGGACAGAATTAAAATGCAGATGTAGAAGTTCAAAGAAAAGTCAATTGAGAGACTTAAAAAAGTTGGTGCCTCAACTAATGTAAAAGAATGGCAGTGGTATTTATACTTGCTTCTGTTGCAAAAAAACCCCAATTATTTAAAAATAAACTGAAATAGAAGATAAGTAAAACTGTCAGTCTGGACCAGTAATAGTTTTTCTGCACCTGTTTACTGCTGCAATTATCTCATAGGATGATTCTTTCTGACCATTCTGTGAGAGTCAAATAAGAATCAAAACCCTCCTGGCTGCTGGCTGAGATTTTAAGCAAACAGCCAATTGACTAATGCTGACTGCATTATTTACTATTTTATTAAAATTCCAGAGTGCAGAAAACTGACATGTAGAGAGCAGTACCGTGAAAGAGAACATAATGCAGTCAGTGTCAGCAGGACTTTGCTGAAGACCCATGAAATGTAAGTAGTTCCATTCCTTCATCTCAATCAGAATGTAAAGAGAGATTCTTCAGCTATGAAATACCAAGATAAACAGACTGACATCAAGGCAAGGTCAGGCAGTGGAAGGAGAGTTCTGTAGTGCTTCACAGCTGGTCCATTTGGTCACTAGAGTGCTCAGCATTTGAGCACTTTCTCATCCTTTTACACTGTAATAGGGATACTTTCATCTCTGCTCAGCTTGCCCACTACTTGGGTTTAGTTAGCCAGTAGAGATATCAAGCAATTTGTATGTCTGAACAACTCAGGCCACAGTGCCAGCGACCTCAGGGGTAAGCTGCCAGCTCCTGTGAAAGCAAGGGCCAGTGACCTGTGCTCCACTGGAGCCACAGGCTGCAAGGTTTTTTCCCTGTCCTTCTTGTGAACTGCTATTGTGCATCACTGCATGTTGTGCTACACATGAATGCACTCACTGTGGTTCTTAAATGAAAGATTTATTATGACCATGAAGTTTGCAGCAGCAATCTGCAAATAGATTTCAGCTCCCTTATAATGAAACACTATTACATAAAATGGGAAACACTCATGTGACTTTTGCTTGGGAAGAACCAGTCAGAGATCTCTGTTCTGTTGTCTCTTAACTTTGTACCTTCTCTTACTTGTCCTGATGGCTTTACACCATTTCCCCACTTTCAGTGCCACCTGCAGCAGCATTGTGCCTGTACACACTTATCTGAACAGTCCCTGTCTCACAGGGAGCTTCCTGCTTGAAATATTAGGGTTACCATCACATCCACAGTTTCTCAGCACAGAGATCCCAAAGTTGAGTTTGGGTCCCTTGGGTGATCTGGTACTCTACTCCTCAGAGAAAAGGGTAGTGTCAATTTAAATATTTTGTCTTATGCTCATGGGTAGCAACAAAAGAATTGCCAATCATATAAATAACTTTGGTATTTAAAACAGCTTCCTGCAGTCTATCAGATATGAGCATTTCTTTGCTTATTGCACTGATAAACCATATTCAACTTGTTCATATTATGGATTATTAAAAAAAAAAGTCATATAAACTACTTGATAAGACTATAATGATCTGTGTAGTTCATCAATCATAGTATCTGCCCCAGGGTTTACACAGACATCTATTAGTGACTGTGGAGCTACAACCTAAATGAAAGGTTGCCAAACTATTTAGAGAAAAAACTCAAGTAAAATTACTAACTCTAAAAACCTTTGAAAGTATAAAAAGAAGCTCATCACAGTCTAGACAAACTGTGCTACAAGATGTGTGCTTTTCACATCACTCCTTTCTAAAGAAATTACTGATACAGAATCCAAATGAAATCATGCACTGATGTTCCCTAGCTTGTGGTATCAGTCCTGGAACTCCCAAGAGCCCTTTAAGCATCACTGCTGGCCTGATGCTCTGGCAGTGAGCACCACTTATGAATTGGGCTTACAAGAGCTGGAATTCATCTGCACTGTATCCTGAACTAAGGGAACTTGCTAATATTCATAGACTATCAACTTTGCCTCGTTGGAATCATCCTTTCAAACCTCTGGAAAACAAACAGAAAACCTGATTATAGACACAAAATGAGCTTGTTTCTGGTGCAGACCATTATCTAGCAGATATCTGACAACACAGAGCTGTACAGAAGCCCAAAATACTATGGGTATGGGCAGCACAAGAGAGTACCACGTGCATGAGTTCCATCCAAATCAGGACATCTTCCTGGGATTGTAATAACTTGTATTACTGCCCCACCACACCCTTATTGCCACTGGCATCCTTGCCCAGCAGTACATTGTGGCAATGATTCCAAGCAAAATGCCAACAAGGGGATTCTCTGTGGGAGTTTGTTCATCTGTCCCCAGAAAGCCACCAAGATGCAGGCTTAGGAACAATATTACATTGTCAAAACCCTGAAATAAGGAAATAGTTTTGTGAGCACTTACCAGCAGTATGTCTGTCACAACAGCCCAATTTACAGACAAAAACAGTTCTCCAAATGCAATAAAAATCTGCAAAACAGAAAAAAACAGTGACTACACCATACAATACTATACTGTACTACACTATACTGTACTATACTATACTATACCCTGCATTGCCCTTCTATATTGTGAAGATGAGGCAGGCTCCCTGACTGTGCTTATCTTTGTAAGACTTGTCCTACATACCTATTACTTCTAAATTAAACACCTCTGTCTATTAAACACCTCTGTCTATACTTACAAACACTAACTTCATCTTAAAGGTGGGGAAAAAAATAAGAGAAGGTGTTTGTGTCACAAATCCTCAGCAAAAGAGCCAAAATAGGAAATATATACCACTCTCCCAAATTAACTGCTATGAACTACTGAACTCAAGAAGAGAAAAGCAAGATGCATGGAGGAGAAACATTCAGCACAGGTTTACAAAGTGCACAGGTATGCAAATGAAGCCAAGTGAACACTTCTGAGCCAGCACAAGTACTCTTAAGGGCTCCTTCAGAGAGAGAATTTCCAGAACGGAATGGACTCCAAGGACAGGGAGTCTCATCTCTTGGTGTCCTGTGGGAAATCCCTAATCCATCACAGATGGAGACCCAGCCATGAGGAAAGGGGTAGGGCACTCGAAGAGTTCTTATAGCTGAGGCCTCAGAAAATATTAACCCTTTCAGCCAGCCCTGGACACAGATTGGAGCAGCCTGCCCAGACTGAGCAAGACTTGAGGAAAGCATTAAAGTTACACCACTGAGGTGGAGCAGCGCTAGAAAGCAGAATCTTTTCAGAAACACAGGCCACAAAGTTACATAGCACCTGGCACAATATTATCTACTAATCAGACTGATGGCACTTTGTTACAACAGGTGCCAACACTGTGTTTGGTAAGGTCTTGCTCAAGATGTTGTACCTGGTTGATGAAAACTCAGCCTAGGAAAGCTACAGTGACAAACTCAGATGTTTTTGGAGGGGTTGTTTGCATTCTCCTAAGGAGATCTAGACGACCTAGTATACTAAGGATATCTACAGATACCCTGTAAGTAATAGATACAGATAATAGACCTAGGATATCCATACATCCTGTGGTTCTTGTCTGTTCTGTTCATTTGTTTATTTCTCCAAGCCAGTTTGGGGGAAAAGACTCCTTGAAACACTGATATACTTAGTATAGACCATTATCTAGACATCTTTTCCTTCACAATGCTTTAGATTAGATATAAGGAAGAAATTCTTCCCTCTGAGGGTGGTGAGGCCCTGGCACATGGTGTCCAAAGCAGCTGTGGCTGCCCCATCCCTGCAAGTGTTCAAGGCCAGGTTAGACAGGGCTTGAAGCAATCTGGTCTAGTGGAAGGCAACCATGCCCATGTCAGGGGAGGGGAACTGGATGAGCTTTTAGGTCCTTTCCAAACCCTAATTCTATGATTCTGTGGTTCTATGATTCTAATGAAAGGTATGTTTTGGTAGTTCCAACCAAATATATTGATCCACTCGTCTAACACAGACTGGCAAATTAAACTGTTGTTCTCTACCTTTAATGACAAAAAATCCCCTGAGGAACACACTATGAGTGGAGCTATGTGGGACTCTGAGGAGGAGAAAAAGACAATGGCTAATTCTTCTGGGCACTTAGATCCCCACTCCTGGACCCAAAAATAATCTTCACATTTTTCTTCATGTGCACACACTCAGACAGGCCAATCCACTTGTGTTTTCTCTTGGTAAAGGTGTTTTTCCATAGGAATATACATTTCTGAGGAGTCAGAAGGAAAACCTCTTTGAACAAGCATTATTCTTAGAAGCAAAAAAAAAAACCAAAAACATGCAAAAGTGCCCTTTTGCAGAGAACTGTTGATTACTGTAATTTACTTTACTTTACTTTACTTTACATGCTAATCATGGTGATTTTGGCTGTGGAGTCACAGAAAAAATGCACAGGAGTCTTTCCCCAGCTGTTACCAGATTACAGTTGAAATAGGGTTTACATTCAGTTCCCTCTTACAGGGATTTTTTTGTCATTCCTAGTAAGTTTCTGTTTTCCCTTTTACTGAGAATGGAATTTAAGTGATTTATACTTCAGTTTGTATTGCCAAAAGCTTGACTTTGAAGATCAGCTAGTGATCTGGGGCTTTGAAGGTGAAGGCTAAATTATTCTTAGCAAGAACAGTGTGTATTGTACAGTCCCAACTACACCAACCTTTAGGTATTCAGAGATCAAAAATAAATAAGAATACTAAATGAGGCACAAAGCATTAAAAATTAACATAAGATTGAGACTTGCTTTAACTACATTTTTGCATATGGGACATGTTCCAACACAGCTAAATGCATAGTTACTATTCTCTTCAGTGTGGGCACTCTGCAGGACCTCAGGCCCAGTTTTTGGGCTCTTCTGCCCAGTGTGGCTCTCACAGGACACACCTCAGCTGTGGGAGCATCAGAGCCCACAGCTTACCTGGATACCTTTTCACAAGTCACTGAAACCTCTTGATGGTCTAGAAGCCTGCAGAGAATTCTGCAAAAACCCACCCCTCGCCGCCTCCTCCTCCCCCTTCCCATTCTCCCTAGGATACCAAAAGACATTCTGCAAATTGTCACTTACAAAAGTGGAAAGGATATTTGTCTGGGCAACCATCAGAGCTATGTAGAGGCACAGGGCAGAAATGAACATGCTTGAGGCACAGATCAGAGGATCAGCTTTGTTGTTTATCTTCCTTAAACGTCTTGCAGCTTCTGCCCCAGCAATAATACCCACGATTCCTGTCCCAATGGTGATGCCTCCAAATATTAGGCTGGTGACAAAGGAAAGGATTCAGCTGAGCATAGTAAAACTGAATGGTGAAAAAATAAATGGTGTTATCTTGTACCTGTAGTTTCAGAGGAGACTTTAATAGGGAAGTTGACTTTTATTCCACTTGATGTGACCCTCCCACTCCTTCTAAATGGATGTGAGCCCAAGCCCCAGCTGAAGCCATGGCCTTGTGATGGTGCCTGTATCCCCTGGAGAAGATATTTTCAGATTTACAGAGCAGGTGTTATGCACCCAGGCTCAGGGAGGGCTCTGCTCAGTACAATCTGGCTTGGACATGCTGTGATTTAGAGGAGACACAGTCATGGTGGTTACCCTGTGAATCAATCTACCCAATCATCCCTGAAACACAGATGGAGTAACCCTGTATCACAATCTGCTGCCTTGGAAGAGATCCTAGCACGTGGAATGATACACATCTAAATTACAACCCTCTGGTTAGCACAGCTGAGATGAGTCACTTCTCTGACTATGGGAAACACCTACCACTTCCCAGAGAGTTCACAGAATACTGAATAGGTAAGTACTGCCAGGTCCACATAGCATTTTCTGAACACAGAGTTTCCAGTACCATTCAGCTTTGTGTGTCTGCAAATGCAAATGTGTTCTTCAGGAACCACAAGTTCATGTTTTAAAAGAACATGTCTGAATAGTTTAGAAGATTCATCTTCCAAAGGGACTTGCATGTGTGCTTTTGTCTCTGTCCCAATGAGACCCCCCGCAATGAAAAAGCACGAGATCAGCCACTGTATCATAATTCTCTGAAGGCAAGCAGGGACAGGATCAATGTATTCTGAGCACAAGGGTTTCTGAATATTTTAGAGTGCTACACGGTAAGTTCTGTACATTTTCCAGAGCTTTTTCTAACTGCAAAGCAAAGTAACCAGCTGGGACATGATCTGTTCCTTTAAACTACAGAACATCCACTTCTTAATTTCTTTCTGGCTGATTAGGAAGAACTCAATAATTCTAAAGAAAAAAAAGGGTATTGCTATGTAAGATAAACTTTAAGAAAATTTGTACTCTCCCTGAAAGTTTTTCAGGATTCTGATCTATCACTGACTTGATAGTGACATTATAGATTGTCACTTGACAGAATTATCTCAGACATCTGTTCAAGAGAGGCAAGTTCCAAGGTGACATTAGTTGATTGAAGCATTCATGGAATTGTGTTTAGAATATCCATATGTTGTAAACTGTAGCTGAAATAAACCTGCAGCTGAAATAAAAAAGAATGGCCAAAACTAAATCCAAGCACAGTTCAGCTGACAGGGCGTAGGAAAGTACAGAAGCCTAGTATTGGGGAAAGGCTCCTATGGGATCCTTTAGAGTCTGAGAATACTCACTTATCTCTCTGATCTGTTTGAAATTGTTGGCACAAAGACCTGAACAAAAACTTCACACTGCCTATTTATCTACCTTGAAAGGATTGAGACTTGAATCAGTTGTGGTGCCATTTGAGTCTGTGTTTTCAAGGAGTCTAAGTGACACAGTCCTGATCCTTAAACAAAGTCTGAAACTGCTGAACAGCCAGAGGGGAAAACATCTTTAAAGTATCCCTGGGCAGGTCTAGTAATGTGCAGTTCAGTTCCTCCAGCACCACCAGGTCTGACATAGAAGTTTATATACTGTTTCTTTACATCCCCTCGGAATAACAGTCCAAAACCAGCCTTATGCTGCTCCTTGGCATAAACCTTATGAGCTTATGCCAAGGTTATATTTAAAGCATCCTATAAGAAGCAGTACATGAGGTTAAACTATCAGATGCTCTGTTTCACTTCCCTGAAGACCATGTCTGCTCTAACAACACTACTGTGGAATAATAATTCAGAAATGGATTAGAAAACAAACTAGAGGTCAACACCTTCAACTTAACAAAGGAAGTACTTAAACTGCATTTCTGAATAGATACAGCCAAATATCTTAAGCTGTTGAGCTGCCCTCATCTGTCTACCCTGAGCCAGACTCCTGTGTTTCACCCCCTTCCCAGTACTGTTCTTTGATAAGTAATGTGCCACTGGTGGCATCCATGGAAGCACAATTCATTTCCCATTGAAGGATTTTGGGATGACTCTTCAATCCATCTGGTTTTGCTACAATTCAGAAATCACTTCTGAGTTGCCTCAGTTATTCCATTGCATAAAACCAGAAAAATCCCATCAGCAGAGGATACATTCAAGGTGTGATTATTGCTTTTCCCTTTAATTGTCTTTACCTGGAAAGGCCATGCAGTAAGCACTTAGTTCTTTGAAATCCATTACAAAAGCAGAAACTGAAACAAGACTTTGGATATCTCTGGGAGAAAGGGATACTTGTATGGAGGCCACTGCCAGGAGTCAGTCCCAGTGCCCACTGATACTGAGAGAAGCTGTGAGGACTCAAGAGGAACACTGAATACATATTGGTGTTCTGGAAAACACACTGTGAAAAAAAACTTCTCTTCCTCGATGGGTAAAAAGGATCCACAAAAAGGTGTGTTATGACTACTTCAAAGTGTTCTGCTAGTGTAGATTCCCCTTCTTGTACAATATTTGATATTGTTCATGAATCTTCATTGGCCTGGACATGCTCTGTAAGCAGAGCTCTGCTGGCAGCTATTCACAATATCCTGTGATGATATGATACTACATCAAAATCATCAAGCTTTCTTCAAACTGGGAGCCACAATGAACTCACCAACATGGCACAGATTATAAAAACAGAATAAGAAGAAGATAATATGCAAGTTACTAAAACACAGGATTTAAATATACTTAAATGGGTATTTAAATAACTTGGGGTGCACAGTCGTTTGTAAACTAAAAACTCCTTGCTAAAGCTGCTCCTTTTTCCCCACAACTGTTACTATTACTGCTTCTTCCCACTTTACTTGAATAGGGCTGGCAGCATCTTTCCAGTTAACTGAGTGATTATAAACAAACAAACAAAGTGGAGTGTCCCAGATACCTGGGAGGCAATTTAACACTCACACCCCATTCACAAGAAGTGCTGGATCACATCCTCCCCTCCCCTTTGGAACCCATCTGGAATTGAGCACCGTGCAGTGTTTCCAGGTGTGCTCCCACAGGCACAGCTCACCTGTTAGAGGAATTGCACGAGTCTTGGAGGCATGGTGGGACAAGGCCCTGGACAACCTGAGCTCTGTACAGAAACAGTGGCATCCACATTCCCAGGGCTCCAGTGACAAAGGCCATGGCAGTCAGACCCAGTGAGGAACAGACAAAACTACAGCTGAAAGTAAAAAAAAAAGAAAAAATAAAAATAACTGAGAGATATTAGAAAGAATGGTGTGTGAGGAAAAAGGGAAAACATACCTGCAACACCCAGGATTTCAAGCAATAACAAAATAACAAAACAATACAAGACATCTTGTAATCAAAATCCACTCCCTTGAATATCTGAACTCTGATCAGACTTTATTATGAAATTCAACAATAAAGTACTAATTAGAGCAAAGGGTATGACCTACTGATTTAATGTTAAATCCAGGTCTCTTGCAGATTTCATGCCAACTTCTGCCAAAACAATTGCTGTGAGTTTTTTGATAGCAGAAGTATAACAATAGAGAGTGAGCAAGAATTTAATAGTTTAGTACACAAGGAAAGGTTTCTATGTTCAAGTCTAAATGCCTCAGGTTTTAAGCTGTTTCTGTAACCAGTATGAGAGCAATGGCTGGGTCTGGGCTGGGCTGAAGCACTCCTTAACTCTACCTGAGTGAGTAAAATAGACTCAATCTCCACAGCAAGTTTAAGACAAAAGGAGAAGCATTTCTGAAAACTGTCCAAACATTGTCTCTTTCCTGCCCTATTCTAGGAGAAAATTCTTTTTTTGCTGGACTCTTTGTCATTAATAGTTCAGGAGAAAGCCCCCTTTGAGGTCAATAGGGATGTATGAATTCTAAAGACTGCTGCAAATGATCAGGTGACCACCAAACTAGAGGGTTTGTTATGAACCTAATTCTCCATTTCCTAAAGATAAAGTGCTCTTGGACTTCATTAAAAGTGGAACCACATAGTTTTTTTGGCGGTATGTCTTTATGCTTTGGAAAACAGTTGCCCAAGGAAAAGAAAATGGGAGTCAATTGCTAAAGGAAAAGAAAATTAAAATGTGGTTTTTTTTGCACTGGAACATCTCTGTAGGAAAGCAATTTTGGAGATAGTCTAGTTGTTGAAATGTCAGAAAGATTAATTTTTGATTCAGGAAGATTTATTTTTTTATTCACTTCAGGATGTAGTGCCAACAAGTTGTGATCCTAGAAAGCCGATCTCTACTGTACCTGCTGCTCAGGATGTAAAGAGGATGCAGATTTAGCGGGCAGTTAGAAAAGTGGATCGTCTAGAAGGGCACTCCAAAGACAAACGACGTCCCAGGAAAGCAAGGCTCTGAACACAAGCGCAGGGTCGGGCAAGCGGCGTGCGGGCAGCGGCGGCAGCGCGGAGCGGGTCTGGCGCAGCTGCACAGCGGCACCTGCTGTTCCCAAAGCCGCTCCAGCCCCGATCTTACTCCGCCCTGCACGTCAGCTGCATCTTTAAGTTTTGTGTGGTTAAAAGGAAGATGTCATCTGCCAGCCACAGCTCAACCCATCAAAACACATGGATAATACTTTATAAACCATATTGGGGTCCCACAAACTCTGACCTCATGCACAGCATCCTCCCAAATACCTGAGATATGCTAATCCAACCTTCCTCAGGTGCTAAGAATTATATATAAATTTACACCAGAAAATGATGCACTTTTACCAATCTGTTTCTGTAGGGAAGGGAAAAATTAGTATAAAGTAGAGCTTTGGATTCAAAAAGGACAAACTGCCATCATAACTTTGCCCCCTTACCCCTCCTCAAAATGAGAGGATAGAAGAAGAAAAGAAATTTTTTTATCCCTTTTGCAGCATTCCTGTAAAAAAAGTGGAAGAAAGATTTTTACTAATGGTGTTTCCATCCTCTTGCATACAGCATGTGGCTCAAAGGAGCAAAATGGGACTCAGTGGACATATTTCTTATAATGGAATGGTGACTCCTCAACAGAGGGAGCCTTTGTAGCTCAAACCACTTACTTCTTGACAAGTGATCCCACATCTTGACACCAAGTAGTCTTGGTGGTTCTGTGCACATCTGGCTTCTCATCTGCTCTTCCTCTCATGCCAGAGATGCTCAGTGCTCTGTGTGCTGCTGTCCTTCTCTGTATCTTGTGAGGGACCAGTAGAATCAGGAGAAGCAGTGCCAGTCCTCCCATGCAAGGAGTTACCTGTAGACACAAGGTTGGTTAGATCAAAGATACCTGTATAGTGAGAACTCCACAGCAATTTCAATTGCATTAGAATCACTATCAGAAAATTGCAGATATGTTCAGAAATAGATGTGTGCTGGTTTATGCCATATTTGTAAAGAAAAAGAGTGACTTTGGTGACTTTGAAAAAAGATAATAGATCCTCCCTCCCCATCATAGAGATACCTGATTGCTCCTCCCTCTGATAAAAAAAAAAAAAAAAAAAAAAAGTGAAGAAAGAAAACTATACTGTAGTATTCTAGCCACAAACACAAGAATCACTGATGCAGTCACCAATAACATCAGTGTTACTCCAGTAAATATTCTGCCTAACTCACCTGCTTATTATGTATATAAAGAAGTTGTTCCCAACAGCATTCCAGAAAACTGGTGCTACCAGTATAATGAGCATTTTACCTTCAAATTCCTCTGTTTGAGGAGGTCTTGGTGCAGTAACAATCATTCCAAATGTGCCTTCAGGTAAGAGGAACATCAGCACCTGCCCTGGCTGCTGTACAATTTCACCCACACCTATTAGAGCTAGGCAGCAATCTGCTATTTGACCTGCAGGAAAACTTCTCCTAAACACCACGTTTCTGACCTGTCAGAGGGTAGGAATTCCTCCCACTGCTCACTTTAACACAATGAACATAAAGAATCCAAACCCTAGTGATGATTTTGATGTTACAGTGAATGAAAGTGAGTGACTCACCCTGAATGCCCAGTGCCAGTCGCCTGTGCTTTTTGCCATGCCAGCTGCCAGCATATAACCACAGCCACTGCAAACATCAGAAAGGAATGGTCAGTAAGCACCAATGAATTTTGGATGGCTGAAATGACATGTCTTGCCAGCCAAGGAGAACACATAGAAGTGTTCTGTCATAGTTTTCCAAAGGGATAAACAGAAATGACCCTCGTGGCCTGTGCTAGTCTGCTTGCCAGCCAGTATTAAAAAGAAAGTAACCTCCTCAGAGCAGACTTGAGATGATGACAGTGATGTCCCAAATTCCCCTTAGTAAACATATTCTGTAGGATGACACTGCAAACCCGGATCAAAGAGTCCATAAAACATTTTATTACCTATTCTCTTCTGTGCTAGCCAAAGGAATTACGCCCTGCAGGAATTTCTTGAGTTCCAATCTGCCTTCTGGGCCCAGCCTTGGCTGCCTGCTCTGATACAGAGTATGCCTCTAAATTATTTGAAAAGCCCTTCTCCACCTTTTCTTCAGACACAATGTCAATTTAACTAAAAGAGGAGAGGGAAGTACTAGTTCTTCCTTGGGAGACATTTAATGGAGGGTTCTTGGAAAATCTGTCTAATAAACTAATATCTTAAAGCTTTTGTCTTCTAAAACACAGAAATAAATTACATATTCTCATGCACTTTCATGCATTCTCATATTTATTTTAGAATTGATTCAATATTTTATTCAAAGCCAGGTTTTCCAGAGTCTAGACTCTCCCTAAAAATGTTTGGGGGAAAAAGCGAATTTTTCCCAAGGTAAGTAGAGAAATACACCTAATCAGCTCTATTCAAACTTGCCAAGGAAGTGACAAATCCCTTTCTAAGAGCCAAGAAGAAATACATCAAAATAAATCTGATTAGGGCTCAAGGGATATTGAATTGCAGGTGTGGTCAGACAGAATTTCCAAAGGCCACTGCAAGAAAGCCAACCTTCCCACTGGAATGAAGATGTAGAAGATAGATAAAGCTGTGGTCCTTCTTCCTTCCTCAAACAGGTCTGCAATGATGGTAGGTGCTATAGTGGAGTAACTGGCAGAGCCAATGCCAACCAATCCTCGTGAAAGAACAAATATCCTGTAATGCTGCAGAGAAAAGACATATTATAGTCAAAAAAAGTCCATGAAAGAAAGAAAGCTTACTGTTAAGGAGGGGCATTTTAGTAGATGAAATCTACCAGAGGAAATCAGAATTCCACTGCCTTTTGCCTGTGTCTGTATTCCCACACCTGTTCCCCTCACATCTCAGTGCTTGGCTTTCTCCTTCTTCACAGCAGTGACTTCTCAGAGTGACACCCAGAGGGAATTTCAGGACACCCAGAGGAAATTCAGAAATTCAGCTTGTATCCAACAAGCTGAGACACTGTAAGGTCATAAACAAAAAATATTCTGGACAAAAATAAAACCCCATCTATTCCCAACAATAATGTGTGGGTTCTCTATTGCCTAGGCTGGACTTCAGAGTCCTATAAGGCATTCCTGCATGGAGGATATTTAGTCCTGGCTTAAGGCTTGGGAAATGAGTGGTCACTGATGCTTTTCCAAATGTGATTAGAAAAGGACTCTATCAAGTCCTGCAAGATGGATGCAGGTTATTTTCATAGCACCCTCTATAAAAGCAACATACCGACTCAGTGAGGAATGAGCTCCCCAAGGTCACACCAGACCAGAAGAAAATACCAGCTCCAAGGATGATCTTCCTGTTGTAGCGATCTCCGAGGTATCCAAAGATGGGGGCAGCCAGCATGTAACACAAGGTGAAGACTGAAAATCCAACAATGAACAAAGACAATATTTATCTAATTATTTTTGTCATACGTACTGCTCAGCCCTCAGATAAACTCAGGTCATTTTTAGGGGAGGACTCTAAGGCAGGCTGAGTTTCTAGGACTAGGAGGAGGATTGATATTTAGAAAAAGACAAATGCGTACTCAAAATACCTATACAACAATAAAATGTATGTGAATTGAATTGATGTGAATTGAATTAAACAATGTGAATGTATGTGAATAACTCAACTTCTGTATTTCTTGAGAAACCCTTCATCTTTTGTGATTCACATACTGTGGGATTTTTGAAGGACTTTCAGTTTTGCATTATAGTCAGCCTGCCCACAAGTGGAAGTGAGCAATACCACATACAAGGAGGAACTAGAAGAGCTAAGCAACTGGATTCTATTTTAGGAGCAGACCATGGAGGGGCAAGACAAAGTCAGCTCTCTGAACTGAGGAGATTTTATTACCTGTCTGCAGTAGACCTGTCTTCCCATCGCTGAGCCCGAAGTATTTTTGTATATCCAACAGGATCCCTGCAACAGAGGCAGACATTGAATGATATCAAAGCACCCTACTCAATCCTTGTAACTGCCAACCCAAAAACAGGGCTTGCAACAACTGCAGCACATTTAGATTTTCGTTTAGATGTAAGCCATTACTCTCCCACAAGCACAAGATGCACAGAGAATTGAAAATTCTTATCACTATAGATAAAATTAATGATCTTCCACTATAAGGGTCATAGGAGAGTCAGTTTAACCACTGTTTCAACCACTCCTGTTCTGCTTCTTTGGCACCTAAGAACATGAAAAATTTAGAGATCAACGTTTAATGGACGCATTGTAGAACAAAACAGTGGATGTTCAGACAAAAAGGTCGTTTTCTTCTCTATACCATGCCAGACCTGCAGAACTTCCATCTCACCTATCTTGTATTTCCGATTTACACCACTGAAAACCTACTGAAAATAGAAGATAGTGCTTTGAAATAGCATAACTGTACTCCAGTTTTGAAAGATATCAATTAAAAAAGACATTCACTTCTCATGCCACTTCAATTTTGTCAAAATAGATAGTCATAACATTGTTAAGAGGATGAAAGCACCACCACTTAAGAGAACAAGTTCTGTGTAATTTGCCTGCTGTGCTCACAGGAGCTCATCTTCAGCCAAAGGGAGTGGGTGAGGTCAGCAAGAGGCGCCCCTTCTCCCACACTGTGTTTTACATGTGCCACAAGCTACACTGCTCCAGCCACTTAAAAGCAGTGTGGGACCAGCTAATTTAAAGCTAAATCCATGTTCTCCCACAGTCCCCATGGCTGCAGCATCAGTCCACTCTCTATTTACTGACATCACTTCAAGTCACCATAGATCAAAATTCAGCCAAACAACAGCTCCAGTGGTTTACAGATGTTTCTCAGTGACTCTTGAACATATTTTACATTTGGGGGTTTCCTAATGGTTTCAAAAGTTTGAACAAGAGATATAATTCAAATATTTTGCATCATTAAAACAGGACAATCAAGTATATCCTTCCTTTCTGGCAGCCAGTGATCAATGCACAGAAATGCTGTATTAGAGGAATTCAGGTTTTGTCTTGTGGAGTATTTAGAACAAATCACAGCTAACAAGACTTGAACAGAACCACAACTTCATCTCAAACTAACATTCACACTGAGCACCATTCAAATGTCATCCCCTCCACATAACTAAAATAACTGACCCTGCCAGTTCCTGGCAAATTAAAAAGCATTGATTTGAACAGTTTGGTGGACAGAAAAGAGGGGAAAGGTCTGTATGGTCACTAGTTTCAACAAACCCAAGTCAGTAGACAATTAAGGGGAAGAGCTTGTTTTCTGTGATACAAATGCTGTCAAAGGCTGAGAGCAAAACTATCCGGAAACCACAACTTTGTAACTGCTGCCAGTTTACTTCTGAGCAGATACACACACCTCCCCTTCCTCCCTTTCCTGTCAGCTGATAGCTGACAACGTGGTCATACATTTGGACAGCCAAACTCAAATGCACTGTTGCAAGAATTCTGCAGTGGCACTGAATTCCAGCAGGTGAACAGTCAGTATATTGCTGTGGCATAAACTGCAGCTTACAGACTCCCCCGTGGCCCAGGAGCCATAGAACCAAGTAAAAAGTGGTTTAGTCATAGTGTAATTAAAGGAAGTGTTTCAAAGGCATGGGCACTATCCCCACCTCTGCTCTTGAATTCTTGCATGTCCCTGAAGGTTCCTCACTCACAAGAGCAAGTTGGGAGAATTTTAAGCTCTTAGCTGCTTCAGATGCACCTGAATAGTTCAAATCCTGGAATGAGCCAAATGGCTTCTTAATCTTAACCCTCCAAGGGGATACCCTTCTAGCATCCAAGTTCTTTCTTGAAGATATTTTCATCCTCTTCTGTCCTCTGCCCTTCTCCAAAGAAAGTTACTTGACAACAGAACAGTTACACACAAGGTTTTCACTCACAGCCTTGCATGCATTCCTATTGCACTCCTATTTTGCTTCCTTCCCTCTTGTGTTGTTAAAAAGTACTCAAAAAACCAAGCTCAAACTCTTTAACCCACTACACTCTCCATTTTTAAAGATACTGACAGAATGTCTCAAATTTTTGAATGGTCGAAGTAGCAAAATAATTATTTTGTGTACTGTAACTAGGTATAAATTCCAAATTCAATAATCCATCCTTTGGGTTTTTTCAAGGTTTGAAACATTTCTGTTTCCCAGGCCACTCAGAAGTAAAATATAGCAAGCTAACAACAAGTGTTTCCCCTATTTTCTAAATCAGATCCCTGGAAGCATGGGAGATGCTTAGGAGTAGTACTAAATAGAAGGATTTACACAGACCACAGTTTCTATGGGAGAAAACCCCCATAGTTTCCCTCCAGGTTACTATAAGCAACTCTTGGTTGTTTTCAGCTAGGGAAAAAAAAGAATTCAAAAATATTTTGGAGGAGGGATATTATTTATTAGACAAGAACTCATAATTTGGGTGAGGGAAGGCTTAAGGAAGTGGGTCTCTATTCTTTTTCCACAATCATGTTCAACTCTCAATTGCAGAAATCACACGACTGCCAGCAGCCCACAAAGAAGTTAAGCCTCCCCTAAGCAAACTAACATGGATAACAAAGTTATCACAAAGATCACATAGTTTTTGAACTTGTAATGGAGGGAATAGCATCAGTATTCTTCAGATAAAGGAATAATATATAGAATCTACTAGATGCAAAGAAGGTCTTGTAAATTGCTGCATACAGAAAAGAGAACTCCTTAGCCACACCTTGGTAGAATTCAACCCCAAAAATAGACCAGTTGCCCTGTATGCTAAAGTCTGTTTATAAGACACCTAGATTTTAAACTATTATCTTATTTTTAAAAGCATTCTACTAAGTATTAATATCTAATAAATTCCTCCTAGGTATTTCCAGATTTATAATTGGAAGTTTCATTAAGACTATGATCAACAAGGTAAAGCAGATAAATGAGAAAAAGCAAAAAGACATAAAGCATATCCTTACTTTAGAAACATTTGTAGAGCTGTTAAGAACTTAAATTTCTTTTTCTTTAGAAGAGGAAAATGGGTTCTCACCTGGCACAATGAACCAATCAATGAAATTTACTAAATTCCCAAAGCACAGCACGGCAACTACCAGGCAATCCCTCTTTGCTGGATTGTTCCTTGGCACAGACACTGATGGACATTGTGTCCCATCTGCTGCAGCAGCTCCATAATCCTCTCCCTCAAACAGTGGCTGGAGCAGCAAGCTTGTGTCTTCATGTTCACAGGGGGCTTGCATGATTCCAGTGCAGACACTCAGCAGGGACGATGAAGCATTTCCTCACACAAAATTGATGTGTTGGGGCTATGAGGAACTTCAATCACTACGGTCATTTCCGGACTGAAGCACAGCCACTAAGAACTGAAATGTTCCTTGCAGTCAGAAGAACTTAAAAAGAAAAAAGCTGCAGGGCTGTGTTTTGCAAAAGTGCTGAAGACCATGGCCTTGAAGACAAGGCAAAGTAAATGTAAACAAAAGCAAAGAAATCCATTGTGCACCCAAGAAATAAAACAACTCCACAGTGATCACATAGAAACTACAAATGCAAAAATGCAAAAATAACAGTATTCTTTGTTGTCAGTGAATTGTCAGAGCTAAAAATAATCTTTCTGCAGAAGAAGGGAAAGGGAAAGGGAAAGGGAAAGGGAAAGGGAAAGGGAAAGGGAAAGGGAAAGGGAAAGGGAAAGGGAAAGGGAAAGGGAAAGGGAAAGGGAAAGGGAAAGGGAAAGGGAAAGGGAAAGGGAAAGGGAAAGGGAAAGGGAAAGGGAAAGGGAAAGGGAAAGGGAAAGGGAAAGGGAAAGGGAAAGGGAAAGGGAAAGGGAAAGGGAAAGGGAAAGGGAAAGGGAAAGGGAAAGGGAAAGGGAAAGAAAGGAAAGGAAAGGAAAGGAAAGGAAAGGAAAGGAAAGGAAAGGAAAGGAAGGAAAGGAAAGGAAAGGAAAGGAAAGGAAAGGAAAGGAAAGGAAAGGAAAGGAAAGGAAAGGAAAGGAAAGGAAAGGAAAGGAAAGGAAAGGAAAGGAAAGGAAAGGAAAGGAAAGGAAAGGAAAGGAAAGGAAAGGAAAGGAAAGGAAAGGAAAGGAAAGGACACAATCAGCCTTTAAAACAGGGCTGTGTCTTCCTCTTTCTCCCCCAAAAAATAGGTCCAAAAGGGGAGGAGGAGAGGGCACAGGAAGGCATTCTTGCTTTTTTGGTGCATGTAGACACCTTTGTCTGCCTTCCTTCTTCTGTCTGTTCACATTTTTAGAAGTATTCAGTCACATGTCTTTTGAGCAACTTTATGGATTACTAACTTCAGAAGTTAATTTATTTTTTGTACCTTGATAAGAAAATTTAAAGTGAATATTACCAGAAAACTCTAAGAGTTTAAGAGTGATAAGGATAAGGGCTGCTATGGTTTATGACTCATGCATGAAGACACAGGTCTGTGGTTGGGCTTTTTAAAGAACTGGGTATTTCACACTTTAGACAAACTGAAAAACAAAATAGCACCTTTTGCAAAATGCAGATTCCTTTGCATCCACGTGCTCAACACGAGTATTTCATTCTATCTTCTGTTTATTTTATCACTCCTTTTCTCCGCTATAGATCACAGGATGATCTCTGAGCAACGTCACCTTATCCGTACTATCCCAGTGCTTAACTAACCCAGGAAGTCACGAGTTCCTTGGAAATTCTCGGAAGCACTAAAGAATCCACAGGATTTTGCAGCAAGTAAGAGTTTTATCTCTAAGGAACAATTATTTGATTGCCAACGAGGCCCGCGGGGAGCCGGAGCGGGCTGCGGCAGTGCCGCGCTGCGCCGCTGGGTGGCGCCCCAAGGCCGCCGCCCCGCCGCTCCCGCCCGGCCTCCGAATCCTTTCCCGGGAATATTTTCCATTTTTGATGCCCAGGCACAGCTCGGACCTTGTAAGGAAGGGCCTCACGGGGCAGCTCATCAGGGTTTAACTCTCACTTTGGGTAGTTTAAATGTCTCTTGATCCAAGCGTCGTCGGAGTATCCAGGGCATATCCTGTATTGCTCTCAGCTGAGATTTACTGCTAGAGCTGATGTTTTGAGATTTCTAACTGTAACTGCTGTGGCAAGAACATGATTCTGCTTTTATAGAACAGAATTTCCAAATTCCAAATTTTCCAAAGACGGAGTCAGATTAAACAAAATGTTCCTCACAAACACAAAACCATCAGTTCTAAACACTTCTTTTGATTCTCTTTTTGCCCTTCATTAAAGTTTCCAGCTATCACTTCATGCTTTTTGTTGCCGTACTACCTGGCTACTGGTGCCATCACCTCTGTCTACACATCCCCCTTCTCCCTTCCCTAAATGTCACAAGTCACCTCCTTCCACCACTCTGAGTTTCACTGCTGGGTACAAATCCGCAGTGGTTTTTAGAAGGGTCCCTGTGACTTCATCTTCCTCAGCCCCTATTGCCATCATTTCTTGGTAGCCACCATGGCTTAACTGCATGCTTGTCCTGTTCTCCAACCACAATTTTCATGTTTGCCCGGACCACACTGCACCAAAAACTTCCACTAATGGTTTGTGACAATCCCCATTGTGGGCATATAAAAATGCCACTATACAATACAAGTCAACTTTTGTCAGGCAATATCACAGCTCACTTCATTATAGCCAATTAAAATTTTTCCTTATTTGTTCTGTCAGTCAGGCAGTTCCTTTCTTGGAACAAAGTGCAGTCTTTGCCTCCACGGCTTACCCTGTCAGTGCCAGGTGCCCATGCAATATAAAAAGCAGCTTTTTATGCCTGTCATACTCCTTCAGAAGCTCTGTTCTCTTGGTGGTTCATTTGAGCACGAGATGTCATAGCTGTGCCATGCAGTTAAACCCTCCCAAGGGAGCAGCAAGTCAGAACCTCGTTATTCTCATGTTTGGCACTAGTCCTGCCACACAGCAACATATTTTCTTACACCATTTGGAATCTGGCTGTGGCACCAAAAGTTATTTTGATGACTGAATCTGACAGAGGCAACTGAGACCCTCCCCCAGATGAGCAGAGATATTTGGTGATAGTTAAAGTGGTTGGCTGATCCTCAGCAGGCCAAAAAATGTGCCCTGCCTGAATCCCGCTAGGACTGCTTACACTCAACTGACCTGAGACCTTCCAGCTTTCACTGAAAGGATTTCCAAGTATTTACTACAAAATGCCTTTGAATGTATTTATTTATCCAAATATAACAGTGGATGCTACCACATCCATGAACAGCTTTGGAGGTTGGCCAGAGCATTCCCAGAAAGCTGCATCAGAAGGGGCATTAATAATGAACCAAGATGTCAGAAAGATATGCATTGAAAATATTTCGTTATCCTGATTCACTCCAAACCATTTCCATACATGTAAACAAAAGAAGCTTATTAAGCCACTGAATAGCAAACAGCAACAAAATCTATGAAAAACTAAATATGAAAATAATATTCATTGTCGACTAGAGCTAACAATACTGATTTTAGGAAGAAAGAAATAAGCTGCTTTTGGTATCTCTCATGCATTACCCAGACAGAGAACATAAAGTAACCAAAAGAAAATACATACTTGTGTGTATTTGCAAGTATATATTTAATTACTGCAATATAGTTAGAACCAACAAGCATGCATTTAATGCAGAACATAAAAGACTGGTCTACATTGTATTTAGGCATTTTGTGATGGAAACAGATTCATAACTAATGAGCTTCTGCAAGTAATTGACATTTGGATTGGTGCACAACTTAATCATTTTAGTGTCTGACAAGATCGAAAAAGTGAAATTTACCATCATTCTGGTAGACAGACAGCTCTATAAATGCATGTCCAGACCCACCTGAAATATTCCACTGCAAGGAGATTCAAAGACAATTCTAGTGACTGCAGAAGAGCTGCAGAGTGAGACATTCAGATAAGAGACTGTGGGGGTTTAAGGTTTGTCACTACTTGTACAAAGGCTGCACAGTAACTCACTTTGGTTTTGAACCCAGTCTGCAGTGCTAAAACATAAAGACAGACGTGGAGTGAGCCATGAACACCTGGGCTGCATGTCTGGAGGGGCAGCAGTTTGACAGCTCAAACCAAGTAGTGACCAGCCTGACAGGAGGGCAGGTGACTCAAGAAATGTAATCATGTATAAAAGTAGCATAATTTTCAGTTACAGATTTATTACAGAATCAACACTTGATCCTGTTCTCATAAAAATCTATATTACAAAACTCCAGAGATGACTCATCTACTAATGTGTATATTTTTCTTGCCTTTCAGCCCTCCAGACGGATGCACATTTGCCAAGTTGTTATTGCCTTGGAATACAGAGCTGAGGGAGGGAGCTTGAGCACTCTCCTTCCAAGGGAAGTTTGAGAAATTCTGCACCTGTACTTGGTTGAATGTGCTCTATCCCTTTGTGGTGCTTACAGTTACATTAGCCATGATTAACACTCAGGCAACTGCTAATAATGTCAAAAGCTGTTAGAAAATATTTAGTATTTTAGCATGAAATTTAGTACCTGAAATTCAAAACTAGATTGCCAACAGTTTTTCTTCAGCTTTGCAGGCAGAACTACTTGTGTGAGCCATTATTTAATTTGAGTCTGTCTATATCTTCCAGACTAACCATCTTTATAGTAATCCACTACTACCAAAAACTTAAGTAAACCACCTGATCCACTATACACTTAATTGGAAAACGTCTGCTAGGAAGATTCCCATTCTGTGAGTTTCAATAAATGCTGGGTTTAGTCACCACATCCTTTTTACCTCCTCGCCTTGAATTTCCATCTAAAAAGCTTTCTTTTTTGTTTCCTGAGTAATAGCACAAAAGTCAGGGTGGATTAACTGGAACATATTCTAGTGTTGTGATAGCACCAAATAAAATTTATACACACTAAAGTATAAAACCTACTATTTCATTATTATTGACAAATAATGGAATCCTGGAATGCAGATGATGCTTTTGGTTGGGCAGGGAAGCTAGTTCAGACTCTTCTCCTTCATCTTTTAAATTAGGAAACAAACTGCACCTTTACAAAAAAAGTTATTGGGGTGCTTACCTAGATAATTTACCTCACAGGTGACATTCTCCTTGGTTGTATTCCTATAGTTCTGTCCCAAATGTATAGCAGAAGAAATTACAGTTCCGGCACATAATCACAGAGTAGCAAAAGATGAACACAATTCTATTAACTGCTCCCTTCTTCTTCTCTGGGAAAACAAAAAGAAAAGCAAAGAGTTCCTTTGCAAATGGGAACATTTTGCACTAATATCAGCCAAAGGAGAAAGCTGCACATTGCTGGAACAGAGCTGCCTCTTCTAGCTGAGATTTAGTCAAGCACAGAGCAGTTCATGGAGGTCAAGAGAAGTGAGGAATTATAGTAACTGTGCACCAAAGATATTATTTCACCAACCAGTTTATCTGCTTTGGCCTTTACCATTTTTTTTTAGCTCAAGCTTATCTTTATTGGTATAGCTGATAAGTGAATTTCTTGCCTTTTGGGATTCTGGGTGCTTCTGACACAATTATAGCAGAAAAGGGCTGTGACATCTGCTTGGACTCTGGAAGAAAACAGTGGAATTAAATGCCTATTTAACCTATGTTTTGACCTTTCTACCACAGTGAAGCGCTCATCCCCAGAAGAGTCATTAGTTGACCACTGCAGCCTTCACTGTGATACACCAGGGTCCTCTTCGTTAAGACAAGAGCAAAGGAGATAGGAACCATTTATTATGAGAAATGACAAACAGACAAGCACTGACAGAACGAAAATGGAGGCCTTTCCCTACGAGGCCCCTCTCTTTCCAGCCTCACTACCTCCAGACTGAAAGGGAAAAGCTGCAGTGAACACAGTATTTTAATCACTACAGAGACTGTTAAGGTCAGGTTTAACTAAAAATTTGAATAAACATTGATTTAAATTAAAAATAGTCTAATTAAAGTATTGAAAATGTCTCTATTTCCCAGAAGTAAATCCTGCACAAAGAGATTTACTGTCACTCTCAGTGCTTCCAGCAAGGCAAAGTGAGGCTGTATTCACCCTTTTGGGAAGGGCAGGTACATGAATTCACAACAGCCATGCTTCAGTGACAGCACTGTGAAACAAATTCTGCCAGCAACAAAAGAAAACTTGGTCATTTTTAGCACTAACCCCAGGATGCTGATTTTTACGACAGTTATGCAAATATTTGGAAGTTCTTAAAGTTATAATGCAATTTACATGGGGATTTGGGATTAAAATATATCTATACTATCACTGATAGGTAGCCACTGTAGGCAGAGGGCAGCTCCCAGTTCAACAAGAGAAAAAATGGAGAAAGTAGCTAGAGTCACTTTTTCCTGGGCATCTTCTGTTTGATTTTAATCCAGCAGAGATAAAAAAGTCTGTGAAAATCTTTACCAGTCAAACAACTACTTTTAATGAAGAAAAAAAAAATAATTAAAACAAGAAAAAAGAAAAAAGAAGAACATTAAAAAAAAAAAAGTGTGAGAAGGATTGCCTACCAGTTATATTGGTAACCTGAGAGAAAAGAGTTGGGAAGAACTCCTTTCTCTGCTACTAACTTCCTTTGCTAAAGCAAAGGGGCCTCAAGCCTGCAGTCCTAAAGCAAATGGTCCCATAAATAATTAAAAAGGAGAAATAAAACAATAAACATTGAAACTTTTAAACACTTGCACAGTTCTACTTAACATCTGATTCATGTTAACTAATGGACAAGATGTTTTCAGGCTTTAGCACTTGCTTCTTAAAGCTCTGGTTTGAATACAATGTTCTTTACAAAATTTAAAACCACTGTAATAAAATTACTGTATGAATCATTTATTAATTACTTAGCAATATTAAAGTAAAAAGATAGAAATTAAACTTGTTTCTATTAATTTCATTCACAATCTCCTTTCATTCACTCTTTATACTAAAAATTTTACGTGCTCTGAAGGTGGTCTCAGGATGTCTCTCATGTAAAATTATAAGGTATGTGAATAAATTCTGGCCTTTCTTTCTTTCCTGGAGTCATGTTGGCATTTGCACACATTACACATTTTTTATAAAGTACAAGAACACAGAATCTCAGGCTGCTAATAAAAGAATTTTATTCTCATAATTTTAGAAGCTACTTTTGCTTAAGACAAGTTCATTACCAGTGGAAAAACTATTATCTCTTTATTCCTATGAGCCAGCAAGAAGCAAAGTCTTCTTTCCATACTTCAAAGTAGCTTTTTGGATACTGTTCATAATAGGGCATTAATATCAACTTCAGCTGATACATTTGCTTAAAAAAAAAAAAAAAAAAGTGCTATGAGATTTGTTACTGTAAATCCTGAAATTAAATGAAGCTAAGAAGAAGCTTTGTTTCAAAGTCCAGAATGGTTGCAGAATTAACCAGCAGTCATGGAAAAACAGCCATAACTCAATTTTACAAACTATCAAAAAAAAAAATCTTTACCTTCCAAAAAGCCTTATGTCAATAGAATATGTTCTGACTTAGTTCATTAAAATGCTTCCTTAAGAAATTATTTAAAAGTACAGAATAAGGACAGTGTAAATCAACAAAGTGATTAATCTGTTCAAAAAGCCAAATATAACTGAAGCCACCTGTGTTTTCACTGCCTCCATTCCCCCTCCCCCTTTTCTCCTCCTCCAGCAAGTTCTTAGTCCTGACAGAAAACCAAAGCAGTCCTACACAGCCCCACACTGAGCTCACCAGACTCCACAGGTCCGAGCTGTTCATCCCTTTTTTCCACCCACCTGTTTCCACAACAGACCTGCTTGATGCTCCAGAGTCCAGCCTTTCCCCTGGGCTTCAGGAGAAATTCAATTCGGTTCCAGAGTTCCCATCTATAATATAAGAATTGTGTTTGTATATTTTCTAGTAGAGGCAAATATTGTATTATATGATAACACTATAGCCCACTGATGGCTGGACTCACACTATCTTAACCTATTTTGCTTCCTTGAGGGGACTAATCCTCACGTAACATCTCTAAGTTCATCCACATTAAGGGATTTGGCCCTTGAGCTGAGCAGTGCAGGTTGTGTTGCTCATGCTCTCATGGAGCCCTTGTGCATTTATTACATTTGTAATACATTTGTATGTTACATTTGTACATTTGTATTCACTGCTCCCTTCATCTCTGGGCAGTTTCTATCCAATACCTCCCAGGCTGCAGACATATTTCCTTCCCTTTTGTGCTCTGCACTAATTTTGTACTTGTAAAGGCACCAGAATGTGCCAGGTACAAATATGAGCATATCTCAAAGAACTGCAACTTTACTGCTCCAGGAAAAAATTAACTTTCTTACCAAGCCCTTTATATATCTCATAATCAACATTATATGTATCATAATCAACAATTTCCAGCTACAATTTGAGGTAAGAGGCATCAACTGGGATATAGTTTGCAAAATGAATTTTTGGGATGTATTTTGTAAAATGTGAGCAAAAGTAAAGAATTTAGCAGATTAAAAGGAAAAGCAACTTTTAAAATGTAATTATTTTAAACCAAGTATGTATGTTCTTTTAAAAACAGCCCTATCTAAAATAAAATGTGAAATAAGGGCAGCCCACACGCCATGAAATCCAGCATCACAAAGTACAGAATATACCAGTAGTTCAGGCTTGCTGCAGAAATTTCAGAGAAAGTCAAAACACCGAACTGGTGGGTGTAACTGAGTAAGTGGCTGGAAATAGCATGTGGAGTGCTGAACCAGCTCCTCACAGCAGAGCTTCATCTGCAGGTGAAGAAAGAAATTTCTTCATCTGAGTTTATTCAACAAGTTCATTTTGATGCCTGGTTCATTAAGACATGGAAACCAAACATGGATTTGGAAAAAGAAGCCAGTTTGATATTTCCTTTTCCAAACTTTGTGCAAAATCAAGGTGTAGGATGCTTAGCTCTAACTTGTGGGAGGATGAGATCTGATGGTATGAATATCTTGGAAGTGGGGGGAGTTAAAAGCAAATTTTCATTTCTCATTTTTAATGATTCCTTTGTGCATTTTAACTGAATCCCATCAAATGTAACTTAACAGAAAGAATCAGTTAAAAGCTCACAGCATCTAATAAGCAAATAGTACTTGATGGATTAAAGAACAAAATTAGAAGTTTGAAAAGATATATGTTCACATATCTTAAATCAATGACTCCGGTCCTACTGACTGTCAAAAAGTAATATCATGCCAAGCACATGGAATCTGCTATTTAAGAATGTAATTAAGAATTATAAATATAAAATAAATTATGTAAATTTGTATTTCCAGCTTGCCATTTTAAATCACGAATCAAGTGTTTAACTCTTGTTTAAGCCAATAATATAAAAAGGAAGTATTGAAAACAGTATTTTAACTTCTGGCATCAAATTTACATACAAATAACCATTCTCGAGTATATGGCCTTGTTTCTTCAAGAAAGAATTCTGATGTTTATTTTCTTCCAGCAACATACTAGCATTTCAGAAAAGGCAAATTAATTATGACCTGCTTCATATTTAAATCCTTGTGTTTGTTCCAAGGACTGAACACTGACACAGCAGTGGATCTCATGACTGCTTTCCATCAGGTATATTAAACTGATTGTCAATTAGGTCAGGCTTTCAAGCTGCAGAACAAAGCTTTCTTACACTCAACTCTTTAGAAATATCAGTTAGAAAATTGCAACTTTCATTTTAGTTTGACCTTCCCCATAACTATGTTGGATTTAGTCTTTCATCATTAATTTCTTCTGCTTTTGTTTGCAGATTTATTTTGATGTTGTTTTTTACTAATAATAAGGAAAGAAATCTAGTTCTGAGGAAATTATGTCCATGTTGTGTAAAGTGAACACCTCTCAGGGGTCATTTTACCCTCTCCTACCACTAATGACTAGGCATGTCTGTTTCCCAGCTGAGAATGCTATCAGTTTAAGTAATAGTTTAAGCTTATACAAATAAAGTTCAGAACAAGGTCATTCTGGTTTACCCAGCTCTTAAACAGCACATTTCTGCCAAAAGCCTGAACCAACAGCACCATAAGAATCCATCAGGATTTCCTGCAGTTCCAGAGACTGTCTTACCACAACCATTCCTGTCAAGCCTGATTCATACCAGAAAACTTACCCAAAGTCAGGTCAAAACACTTTGTTTAGGTGTCACCCTTCAGGGAACAACTCTGATCTACATCTGCTCTCCTTGGCTCAAGCTATCATTGTCCATGCTTCATGCCACAACTAAAGCCTTTAGCTGTGGTCAGTGACCTAGAGGGAATACTGCTGGATTTATTAAGAAATGACAGACACATGGTGAGGTTTGAACATTAGGGTCATTGTGGTTTCATTTATCAGGGAATGTAAGTCAGGACTAGCTCCTATTTCTGGCTCCAGGGCTTGCTGTGGTATCTTGGGCAAGAAAATTTAGCACCATGGACTGCCATGCATGTTTATCCTGACTATTTGGACTGGTAGGGAAGAATGGAGATTCTTACCTCCACTACAGGAGATCATCAAGGATTGGTGTTAATGCAGCAGGACCCTGATCTGAGCTGGAGAAGCTGAGCACTACTACCATACAAGTCAATGTCAATATTGTCATCATGCCCTGAACAGAGGAAAGTTCTGAGGAGATGCATTCAGCACCTGCAGCAATTCCTGTACCAGGCTGCTCTCTGTTTGCCATACTACTGATTCACTGGTCCATATTTTTCTAGGAAATCACACTTCACACACACACCTACTTCCAGTGAAACGTGAGCCCAGCAACATTTGGGTAACAGTTAAACTTTTGAACCTGTTCTGTAGGAGTAGCCTTGAACTCAGCACAAATACTTGAGCCCAGACTGATGTGTTCAGTCCAAGTTTAGTCCCCACTTTATTTATAGGTCACACTGGAGTGGAAACAAAACAGCTTTGAGTCTTTGTTATGCTCTTATTCAAGCCAGCAAGGAGCTATGAATCAAACAAAAATTGCAATGAATTGCTAACTCCTTTTTCCCAATTTCTCCCTTCACAAGGAGTTTTCAGAGCATTTTTCTTTATGATGCATATCCATGGTAATGGCCAACCTCTACATACAATATATGAAGAAATAACTTAGATTTTACTGCTCACAAGTAAACTCAGTCAAAGCTTATTCAAAAAAGAGATTCCTTAGAGGAAACTACTTATGTATCAATAAAAGCACAGCAAAACCAAGTGCTAGGGGGTAGACAGGAGCACAGAACAAACAAACACATCAGCAAACTGATATTATTTCCTGGTGACAACTTGGATCTGAAACATAAGCCTTTAAAACACTTAGCCTTTACTGTTTGCTAGATATAAACTGCAAGAAACCCAAGCCTGCAAATGTTAAAAAGGACAACAAGTAGTCCCTTTTTGCCTAACAGGGACTGTTTTTAAGCCTAAAACCTGATACTTCACAATGCTACCATTTAAAATGTCTCTTCACTGACTCTAGCTTGTAAAATTAGAGGAGTCTTACAGAACATGTTACAGGGAGCTGTGTCTATCTTACCATCAGCTTTTTGAGTTTGCCAAGAAGATGAAGGGGAGCTGAAGGGAGATGATGTTAACAGTCTGAATCCACCTGGAAGACTACAGAACAGAAACTATCTACTAGTGTAATCTGTGATTTGTGTTGTGAAGGAGGAACTGGAGAGAAAGTCAAACAAATGACATCTCATACAAGAAAAGTAAGATGCTGAATGTGAAGCTTTGATCTTTTTTAAGGTGACAGAAAAAGTGCCAGGATTTCCTATTCTGATCATGAGATGAATTATTATGATAATATACCCTTGCCAAGAGAAAGATTAATGCAGTAAGGACCTCAGCAAATGACTGTCAGAGCTGAACAGTCATTATAACAGAAATGGTCCCAGAAAAGAGAAAGTAATCTAAATTCTTATTGCCCTTCCACTCAATGCAGAGATGGGAGAAATGGCTGCAGAGAGGCTGCATGCCAGGGACAGCAAAAGAAATTTAAAAAAAACAATCTCACCTATCCTGAGATTTTTTCCTCAAATGTGGTGCATGTTGCCTCAACAAACAGTAGAACAAGATGTTTGTGCATAGGCAGTACAGAAAGTAGATATTAACAGAATAAAAGATCACTTCATCTAGCAGAGAAAGGCTTCTCCCTCTTTTCAAACAGCCTGGTGTGTTTAAGGACAGGCAACATGAGATGCAAGCCAACAGAGTTCCCCTCTGCTGTGGCACGACAGCTCCATTTCCATGATGGGATTCCACAGAGTTTTTACTGCTGCAAAGAAACACTAAACTAGTTTATGCCTCAGTCACACACCTGCCCTCACCACTGTGGCCATGGTGGACATTTTGCAGCTGCACACAAGGTGATTTCACAGAGCACTGTTCGAGCACTTCAAACTGCCAGTGTTTCCCATAATGACACATACTACTTTTATAAACCAGGGTTGAGTTTGTTGCCAGAATAAAGGAACCCAGGTCATTTGTGCCAGCATAAACCAAATCCTTTTCTTTTCCAACCTGTGGTCTCCTATGTTCTTTATAAGGAAAATCATATACAAAGTATAGGAGACCACAGAAAACTCCCTTTCTTAAGTCAGGTAATTGCCACCAAGTGACCTAATGGTGAACAATCCAGAATGATTTTGATTAACAGAATGTAATAGATATAGAGTTGTTTCATATAACCTTTCAGTGCTGTAGTTAGGTGCTCTATTAATAGAACTGTCAGAAAGTGTGCTCATGCCTGAACTGACATCAGGTACAGAAAGTTGAGTGAGTGAATCTAGTGCTGGCTTAACTGACATTGTGAACAAAGCCTACTTTTTATTCCTGAAAGAGAAATACCATCCACAATAGTGTCACTTCCCATCAACACGCCTGAATTCCAATCTGGGTAACTGTCTCTTAGCATAATAAGTTTACAAAATGCACTTGCACATGATAGCCTCCTGTGGAAAGATTGTTTTTTAAGATTGAATGAACCTGACTGAAGCAATACAAAATACAAATACAAAATACATTTAGGAATTAGAGTCAACCTACAAAGAAGAGGCTTTCACAAAGACTTTCCTTTTGGCTAAGGACACCCTTATGAGATGAATTTCAGTAATGGTATAATACACTATGGGATGTCCTCTGTCATCCCAGTTTAATAATTGAAAAGGACACAGATTTAATCAGAACTGCAAGACTATCTGGGAATAGTATACTGATTAATTGTACTAGCACAGTAATGAAACTCTCAGACTATATTGGGTCTTCCAAACTGGAGCACAGGAAATGATGTTACCATTGCTCATTCTCCTTCCTTTCGTTGCAAGCCAATTTTGGTGTTCACAAAAATAAAGCCCCTGTAGTAGAAAAATAAATTTTAAAATTTCCTTCTTAGAAAGGATTTAAACATTTTCGCAATCTGATACAAGATAAATCCCTTTGTAGCAATTCCTTTCTGCAATAGAGCAGGGAGTTTCCTGCTTTCTAGCACTGGTAATGTTTCATCCAGTTAGCCAGAAACTGCACATACTTGAGAACTGAAATGTAAAATTAGGGAGCCTAATTAAATTCTTAAAGCCAGAGAAGCAGAGCAATCCATATGTTTTATTTTAGAATTGCACACACCTATTTATCACACTATCTTTTTCACAGTCAACATGTGAGCCTACAGACAATTTGTATTTTTGTCAGGCTTTTCCTGGCAATTTACTTAGTTCCTTGGGATAAACTATCTTAATTTTTAGCTCTTTCCCACTGCAGTGCCTGTCCTCAGACTTGCAGTCATCCTTCAAAAGCCTTTTTTCTAAAGGTTTGTGCTGGACATCCAAATCCAAGCCTAGGCTGCCCTTCAGGGATACACTAATACAGGAAACTCCTTTGCTTCATAAGTGTAAGGGTTGATTTAGGCTTTTTAACTCTCTTTTTCTTCCCTGGGCACATCCGCAGTGGCACAGTGCTGCAAGCATCCCCATCACACGCACAGTCAAAAATGTACATTTTGCAGCAATCCCGAGTGACAACTTTTACCTGGCAGCTGGTAACCCTGTTAACCTGTTCTGTTTTGCTGCACCTCAAAACCTCCTGTAATTAGTGTGTTGGAAGCGGCAGCAGCCTGAGGGCCAGCAGGGCTCAGCACAGACCCTGCTGTTCCTTACTCCTGTATCTGACAGTCCTGTGCAGCTGGTGATGAGGGCAGCTGTGTCTCAGGGGCTGCTGTACCTCAGCAGAATCTCGTTCCACACCCTGCCATGGACAGGGACACCTTTCACTATCCTGTCCAGCTTGGCCTTGGACACTTTCAGGGATCCAGGGGGAGCCACATCTTCTCCAGGCAACTTGTGGCAGGGCAGCACCACCTTCAAAAGGAAGCATTCCTTCCTAATAATGGCCTTCATGAGGGCCTTTGCAGATCCCAGAATCGATAGGGTTGGAAGGGCTCTCTGGAGATCTCCCAGTCTAGCCCCTTGCCAAGGCAGGGCCACCTGGAGCAGGCGACACAGGAAGGTCTAGGTGAGTTTGGCATTTCTCTAGAGAGGAGACTCCACACCCTCCCTGGACAAGACTGTCCCAGTGCTCTACCACGCTCACAGAAAGAAGTTCTTCCTCAAGTTGAGGTGGAACTTGCTGTGCTTTAGTTTATGTCCCTAAATGTCCTTCTTGAGGAGATTCCCCTCACGGAGCGCTCCCCCTCCTCAGGGAGGGCAGGCAGGGACCTTCCCAACATGGCGGCCGAGCGCGGCTCCCCGCCCCGCGGCCGCTCTCAAGATGGCGGCGCGGAAGCCCGGCGGCCGGCCCGGGTGCGCCTGCGCGGACCCGAGTGCGGTGAAATTCCTGGCGGGGGGAGCGGGAGGTGGCGGCGCTGAGGGCTCGGAGCAGGAGGCGGAGGGCGGCTCGGAGCCACGGCCGCGCTGCCCTGCCCGGGACCCTGCGTGCTGTGGCGGCCGGCGCCGAGCCAGACCCCCGGCGGGCGCGGAGCGGACGGGCTGAGGGACGCTCGCCGCCACCTCTCGCAGCGCCAGGAGCCGCGCCGTCCCCGCCGCCGCTGGGACTCCCTCCCCGGGCAGAGCGGGGGAGAATGACGGAGCTCCAGTCCGCCTTGCTACTGCGGAGACAACTAGCAGGTACCTGGGCCGGCGGCGGAGGAAGGAAGGGAGAGCGGCGGGTGATCCGCCGCGGGGGAGCAGCGGCCGGGCGGCCTCGGAGGGGCCGCGGCCCGCAGCGGGGGAAGGAAGGGGCGCCGGCTCGGGGAGGGGGCGGGCGGGAGTGCGTGTGTGTGTGAGGGGGAAGGGGAGATTACGGCCCCCCCTCACGGTGCTGTGCCCAGCCGGGAGCCGAGGGAACTAGGCCGAGCGGGGGAGGGGGAGCCCGACCGGCGACTGCTGCCAGGGGAGCCGGGGGAGGGGAGCGGGGCCGGCACGGTGGGGGAGCGTCCCCTCGGCTGTCCCCGTCCCGCCGGGGCAGCGCGGGGTGGCAGCGGCCGCGCTTGTCGGCACCCCCCAGCCCCCCGGTACCAAGCCTGGAGGACTCCTCGTCCCCTCCCCTTGCGGTCCCGTCTGCCTGGGGCGGGGGGAGAGCCGAGCCAGAGCTCGTCCCGCAGCGCGGGGGATGTGTGCGGGCTGATGTTTGGGGGTGTTTCTGAGGGGCCGGAAAGAAGCGGAGGAAGGAGGATTGTTCCCCCACCCCCGGAACGAGGCGCTCCGGGCCCAGACTGACTCCCCGCACTCGCACCCCTTCCCGCGGGGACCTCCGGTACCCGCGTCCCGCCTCCCCTCGCCGGCTCCCCCTCACCTCCCGTGCCCGGGAGGGGGAGGCCGCTGGCCCCTTTGTTGTCAGGAGAAGCGGCGGGGGCTCCGCAGGCACCGGCGGGGGGGACATGACCGGGCAGCAGCGGCTGCGGGCGGGGGAGCGGGTGGGACCGCTGCGGGGGGACCAGCGGGGAGAGGGATGGGGGGTCCGCCGGGGGCGAGAGGGCGGGACGGGCGCGGGGGAGGAGGAGTTGGGCACCGGGCTGGGGGATGGACTCGGCCTGGCTGCCGCGGCCGGGCCGGCGGCGGAGGGGAGCGGGGTGTCATCGGGGTGTCAGACGGGCTCGGTGTCGCCGCGCCCCCTCCCTTTGTCCCCGGGCGGGCGGCCGAGCTGGCCCGGCCCGGCCCCGCCGAGGGGCCCCGCATGCGCGGGGCCGCACAATGCGGCTCCATGTGTGCGCTGCCACATTTAAAGGGAAACGAGCCGGCAGCGCTCCCTTCCTCCCTCCCCCACTTGCACATGTTCGCCGCATCCTCTGCCTGCTGGGCCGGGATACGGCGATCCACTCGAGGAAGCGCACGGGTCTGCACGGTACCTTGGGAGAATGGGGTCGCCTTTTTCGTCTCTTACGTAAAAATTGCTTTGTACCCAGTTAAGGAAATGTGTGCCAAATGTACCTAAACTCGAGCAATTGCAAAGCTGGCTGGAGTTGGCCGAGTAGCCATACAAAGGGACAGGGTCACTGGGTGGCACAGGAATTCCCGGAGGGGAGAATTTTGGCCCGAAACTTTAGTTAATGTCGTTGGAAGCCTAAGGGTAGAAAGCAGCATTGTTAGCAGTAAGGACATGAGGTTGCATAACCGAGTATAGCGAGCTGGATGATGTGTTTGTACATCTCCAGCACTGTTTTCTGGCCTCGGTTGATGATCAGTTTGAGAAACTTCAATATCGTTAACTACTAGTGCAGAACCTTTTACCCCTTTACGTGAAGGTCTTAAAAAAAAAAAAAAAAAAAAAAAAAATCTTGTACTGTGGCTAGTATCGCCTACTGTGGCCTTGGTCCTGAACATCAGCATGCACCTGTTAATGCCCTGGTAACTGCTGAAGTTATTAGTGACACTCAGTGAGGTGTCTGCACGTTCAGATAAGCTAATAATGCCTCGGTATGGGCTTACTGCAGGAGCTCCAGACTGGATCTGATGTGAAGCTTCTCTCTCCTATATATGATCCCTAAAGGGAAACAGTGTAGAATAGTTGCTTTCTAACTTGATTAAAAAAAAGCATTTGGTAACCTAGAATAGTTGTTCAGCTGTCTGGAATTTCTCTTTTAATTCAGTAATTGTGCTCCACAAAAGAAAGTTGGACATTTGGTTGAAGTATCTTGACAGTAAGCATTCAGCTTCTGTGGTATTGTTTTTGTTTATTTGTTTGGATTTTTTTGTCTTGTGAGATCTTAAGGCCTTGTGTAAGCACAGACTGGATATGTAAGTACATTCATAGACTACTAGATCTAGGGGTTAACTTCTGTTTAATTTTCTGCTCACTCTAATCTGAAGGCTTTATGTGTATTGGTAAAAACTGGGGAACTTTTCTAGTTGTCCCCATTACTGATTCAGCTGTACTGACTGCAGCCGTTTTCTTGCATCATACAGCTATTCTGGGGTTCTTAGGTTTTAAGTAATATCAATACCTTTGGTATCCCTTTACATGTACTAAAAGAAATTGAAACCAGATTAAAAGTGACTTTGGGTGTGCATGAAGTATGGCAAGCGTTGAAGAAGAGTCTTGAACTCTTCAAAAGTCTCACGTTGAATAACTGACCTGAGAAAGTTACCATGTATGGAAGAAACTATTTTCTATGTGACATCTGAACTGAGCTGGCAATGGACTGACACTGGTTTTTGTGGTGTCAGGCTGCTTGAATTCTTAGTGTGTAGAGGCTGAGCTTCATGATTTTCCTTCCCTACTGCTCACTGTCTTCCAAGTCTCTCCTGCTCCACGCGTCCCTTTGTTACTACCCACATTGTTTCTTCTACCTCAAACCAAAAGCCACCACTCTGGTGGCATTTGCCCTGATGGGACTGATACTCAGTCTCTCTGCTCCATGCAGCTTTTGCCTACATCAATTGTGGTGAGTCATGGAGTTGTACCTGGTGGTTGGGTTTTGGAGAACAGTAAATAGTTGATATGAGTTATGTGCTCTAAGCTAGTTTAAATTGCTCTAGGTCATTCAATAATGACATATTTGAAGACATCCAGAAATGAAGGGAGGTTGAAGTGAGGATCTGAAACCTATACAGTGGTGGAGTAGTAGAATACAGTGGTGGAGTAGTGGAGGAATATATAATTTTTTTAATGGTGAGACCCTGGATATCTCTTTTCAATGCCCAGAAGAAAAAACAATATGAGGAGGAGAGAGGAATGTTAAACAGTAGTTCTCAGAGTGGCTACCTGTTGGTCTTCCATATGCTTTGGTTCTTAATTATGGGGAAAGAAGGTGTCTGGCATAGAGCACTTTAATGAGCTGTTTTAACTCCTGAGTACTTTGTCAAAGTATAGGTCAACTAATGAGGCTGCTGGCTGTCAGTGAGATGTAAAACAATGGGCCTTACCAAACAGAGCAAAACTTGACGAGACAACCTGAAGTTGCTCCAGTGAGTGTATGAAGACAGACTTCTATTTATTTTATTTGGGTTGTTTTTTTTTTTTTCTGAAAGTGAGCTGGCTTGTAACTTGAGCAGGGAGCTGGTACCACAGCACCATGTACAACACGCTTGTGTGCTTCAGTGGCATGTTCTGGATGCTGATAATGCTCAGAGAGAAGGGACATTCAATGACAGTCACAAAATATAACTTCAAGTTACATGTGGGTTATTTTTTAATCTCCCAAATTCTATGTGGCTTCACAGTGCCTTTGCTAATGAAATACTGAGCTGGATCCCCAGGGACTAAGTGTAGTAACTGTTTTTATATTGACATGTGCTCACCCCCATTTAGGCAGAAGAACAAGTCAAAGTAGTAAGAACTTCTGGTAGTTTTTATGGGCTTGGGCTTTTGGGGTTTTTTAAGTCTTAAGGAAGTGATGAATTAGGATCTCTTAATATCAAAGCCATTTAAAAAGGGTGGTCTAACTAGAGCTGGAGGATCAGATATCTATGGATATCTGTCAAATTAAATGCAGTTCCCTCCCAAATCAACTTAATTGTAAGCAGTAGCAGCTTATGGAAATAGCTTAAAATTCAAACATATTTATTCTTACATTTTTGGTTGGTGGGGTTTGGTGTTTTTTTTTTTTTTTTTTTTTTTTTTTGGTTTTTGGATTTTTTGTTTTGAAATAGAAGCTGTGATCTGTCCATTTCTTCCGGGCAGAGTGCAGGAAAAACTACAGGGAAAAAAAGTGCCCCTGAACTTAAAAAAAAAAAGTCTCCGGCAAGTATGTAGATTAGTGTAGCACTGGGTTAGCAGAGTTCACCCCTCAGGGGAGCTGGTGGAGGATAAACTGTTCTTTTTACAGCCCCAAAACTTTATGTTCTTTAAAAAGAGATGCAGACAACAGGGTGTAAGGCTTCTCTTCCAGTCTCCAGAGCCGTCGAGCCCAAAGGTTTTACAGACTGAGGTATGTCTCTGAATACTTTTATTTCATCTTTCTGCCAAATTCTTGCTGACACAGAGACTAGAGTAGGCAGACTTGTCTAGTTCAACCAGCAAAATCACATAGGGAGGACGCAGTTAAATCAGTAGCTCACGGTGGAACTAGAAGTGCGAGTTCTCCGTAACATAAACATGGAGCACTGGAAATGGGAATAACCATGCCTTTGTTGGCTGAAGTTGAGCTGGTTTGTAAATAATCTCCAACTTAGGATACAGAAAAAGCCACTCTAATGCTTTTCTTAAGCATGAGAAACATGACATTATTTCAGTTTAAAGTATATACAGCTTCTATTTCAAAGCAGAAATGTCTAATTAAAAACTAGCAAATTGGAAAACTGTATTAAATACTTAATGATACAGTTGAACAATTTTTACTTCTGTGGAAGAATCTTCCTGGGTCATGTTGAGCTAGCTGAATTTTTGGCAATTAGGAAGGACTTTTAAAAAAATCTATTTGAGTAGTGAATGGAGAGGGAATTGCAGAATGAAAACCGCTTAATATGTCAAAGCTGAGATGCATGTTTCTGGGGTGGCTGGTGTATAAGACATCTTTGTTTACAGTTAAGCACTGGCTTACAGTAAGTTTGTCTGTAAGATAATCATTTGAGTGGCACTGATGTGAAGTATTACTTTGGTACTGGATTGCCTATTATCTCCTTTGTGAAGGTCTGTTCATATGGACAGTAATACTCTGTATTATCCCAAATAATTAGGACTCCAAGGT